AAACATCGCATGACGCTCGTTATATACTTTGGCCGGAAGGCAGTGCTTCCATTTACCGGAGGAAGTACCGAATTGGAACTTTTGAAATTCCCGGAATGTTCCGGATCTTCTGCATTTTCTGGAACTTTCTCGGAACTTTTGAAAAAATCTAAAAAAAATCCCAGATTTTTTGACTGTCAGGGGGTGGGAGAAATTGGAACAAAAAAGTTCCGAATCCCGGAACTTTAGACGGCTGTGGAATTGGAGCACTGCCGGAGGATAACGATAAGGGGGGGGGGGAGGAATGACGGATCCGGCTCTAAATCCGGCAACTGTCAGCTAGGTTATGGTCCACATTTGCGGTATCGAATGGGCGAGCTTGCGTCGATTCGCATTCCCGCTCGCGGCGTCTCAATAATGCGCGAAGAAGAATGTCATATTAAAGCTCCTGCCATGCAATGCCATGTTGTTTTTCCGCCGTTCCCAACACAGTTTGCTTTTCCCGTCCCTGCTCCACTTGCCACGTTGAGCAGACCTCCGACCAGTTCGACTGGAGTCCCTTTATAGTGAGAGTAAAAACAATGCGAATCCATTTCTGATTGGTTCCCGTATTTTAGTTTCTGAATTTATCAAAGATCGGTCTTAAGGTTCACACCGACGAGCAGTATGAGGTTGCACAATAGGCAAGGATGAACATGCAACTATTTCGCCTCAACGGTCGGTGAGGATACATAACTCAGTAATTGAAGGCGCGAGCAGCGCTGAATGCTACTTGAAACAATTCTTCATTATTACAACATATTAAACATATTCTATTTGAGAGTGGCCTCTCATTTTGGGCGAAAACATGGGGTTGAGGTAACCCAGTATTGCATTCTCAAAAACGTGTGAATAAAACTTTCGAGTCTCTTCAGTGACAGTGCAATGATGTGCTGAGAGAATTTTGTTATGATTGAATTGGATGCATCGCTCAATAATCACCAAAAAAGAATCAAATGTTCAATCCTTCAATTCGCCATTCAACATTACTATGAATACCGATCTTCACGAGTCATTTTTAGACATTTAGCTAAAATACAACGTCTGGAAAATGCGAATCGAATAACTTCGTCAAGGGCGTTTGGTGACGAATGAGAATTCACTACCGCCACGCGACCGAGTGTGGAGGAAGAAAGAGCTGAAAAAAAATAAGAGGGTAAAAAAAGGGGCTCTGAAGGGCGCGCGGATGGTGATGACGATAGACCGCCAAGAAAGTTTTTTCGACGTAAGAACATTGTACAGGGTGAGCCAAAATTTCCATGGCGGACAGCTAGCTTTTAAACGGGCCCACCCACAAAAATGAAATTTTTAGGATGGTTCTCGGTCAATGGAGGCTCCATAAGGGTTCACCCCAGGCGCCTACGAGGGTCCTGACTATTTTCAAATAGCAACGCCTTTTTAAAAAAAAAAAAAAAAAAAAAAAAAAAAAAAAAAAAACGCAATTTAAAAGAAGGTAGAAGAGAAAACTTCTTGCTCCCGAGATATTCACGGTCAAAATTCGAGACGGAGGGAGCTACTTTCAAAAATTCTCAGGTGCCATCTAAAAATTCAGACGCGTGACTCCAGTTATTTTCGTTGCGCTAATCATGTTCTACGTGAAATTTTGATGCATGCTGTTGCTCGTACCTTGTCAAGCGGTGCATTGCGAACGGAATTCTGTGAAAAATTGGAAAAAATGATAATTTACGAGTTTCGCAGAAAATTCCTCTTTCTACCAACATATTTTTGGCGTTCTTCCTTCCAACGGGAGTATAAAGGTTCTCCGGTGAGGAGACTAAATGCGGGAACAAGTCTGGAAACCTGTCAATTTTCAGCATGATCTACCCAGAAGTAGAACGATATCTTTTGTTGAGCCTCATTCGGACTCGACTCGGCAGAGGAGGAGAACCGTGCAGAAGAGCGGCCGGGGCGTAATGAGCCATAACAACAAAGCGACTTACAAGAGCGTGATAAGGGCTACGTCCCGAGCAAGAGGAGGGGGGGAAGTGGGCGAATTTAGTATGGACATCTTAACACCTAATTCAAGCAGAATCGTACAAATATTGTTATTTTTTCCACCTCTCTCAGCTTCCCAAGATAAGCAATGGATCACTAAACACGGTGCGAAATTTAATGTAATTGAGTACGGCCCCTGGCCGCTACGCGGCTCACGCCTCAATCGTGGATCATGATTCTACTCTGAATGCTCTTCAGTAAAAAAACAGCTTATCATTCGCTTAAAACTGAGCAATTTTAAAGAATTCATAGAAAATTGACTATTTCCTCACGTTATAGCAATTCTGTGATGGGCCTTTTAAAATTTGCAAGATTCGGACGGACTATAGTGGATGAACTAAATGTTCGCTTCAACAAGTACCTAAATTGCTTGTAATTTTGGTGTTTGATATACTTGGTCACACGGAATGATCACCACATACCACGGATCGTACTCAAGGCGGAGGATGCAACTATTTCAACTCAACCGTTGGTGACGTTGCCTATCCGCAAAATTGAAGGAGAAAATAATGCCAAGTTTTTTTCGACTTGATTTCGCATTTGGCCTTTATGGATTTCAACATTGACTGGACCTTTTGCAATAAAGAATTACTAATTATTTCTGATTAATTTAGAAACAACATATGTGCTATTTATTTTCCTCCGCAGAAAAGTATTTTCATCGATGAGCCAGAAATAGTAGTTCCTTGCTGCAAAATGTGGTCCAACTTATGTCTTCATAAACAGAGAGCGAAAAACATTGAAGTGCATGAACTGGGTTGGATGGAGGAATGAAATGAGGCTTAAAAGTATTTAATACAAATAAATATCCGCTGTCAGGTACTTCACGGAAATTAGGCTTACTAATTGAGTGCCCTTCTCACAAGCTTATTTCCGCATTGAAAATTCGACTGTATTAATTAATATTAGTAAATCTGCTTGACAAGCTGACCTACAGAATTTATCCACTGACGAATTATTCAACTGACCGTTGTAAAGCACGTTATGGGAATTTTAGTGATTAATAAGAAATTCGATCTTATTAGGCTACGGTTGGGCCGGGTTATTAATTTGCGTAAATACAACCAACCTTCTACTTTTCACTCGGGATACAATTTGACTACATAAAATGGGGTAACAAGGAACCAGGAACTAATGAATAAGCATCTCATTAATTGAATAAGTGTCTTACAAAGCTAAAGGGGTAAAAGGAGGAAGGAAATCCAAACGGCGGTGCGAACAATTGACGTAAAAGAATTTGTTTAGGTTATGTCGAAATCTCCTAACCTAATAACCTTATAATTGGTTTGTGTTGACACATCAACGTAGTTTCCAAACTGCACGAAGCGTGGCTACAATTAGCCATGAATATCAGGGGTTTCTCAGCCTGAGCTTGCAATCTGGGGTGTTCTCTGCCGTGCCAAGGAAGGACGCCATAAAAACTTCCGAGAGTTGCCAAATTTACCTTGATAAAACATGCATTTTTGGCGACATTCATGAACATTTTTTTTTGAAAATTTTCAGATATTTTAGATTAAACTGCGTACAAAATTGTATAAAAATTTTAGAAAAAAATATTCATGATTTTCCCAGTAAATTCGGTTTTTATCGAAGGAAACTTGGCAACGTCTGAGGGCTCATACGGCGTTCTTCCTTAGCACGGCAGTTCCGGCGTCTTACCTGCGCTAATCTTCTCCTTCATTGGCATGTCGCTTACCTGCGCGGACTCGCGGCGTCTATTCACGGCTTTGTGACCCGATCATATTTATAAGCAAACAATTTTATTTATAACCAAACATCTGTATGGGCCCGCGGGCCAGTCCCGGGTCCCTCAGCGCGAGCCAATAGAAAACTGCTTAAAGCGAGCTAGAATAATTATGAGCGCGGATAGAGAGACTAGATGCCCCTCCTCGGATGTTGAGTCCGTCTCCCTTCGCTTCGCCTCAGCTGGGTATTATTATAATATCCCGCATTGTATGCACTGCTTACGCTTACCTTTAATCCCGTTTTTCAAATCGCCCGTGATCGCAAACATGTCTGTTTGTAAATTGTATTTTTTATTTTTATTATTCTTCTCTCCTTTTTCAATGGGCCGGTGTTTGATCCCGATCGGAGAGGGGCGTAGGGGAGGGGGGAGGGGCATTTAAATAATACGTCAAAACAGATCTTTGTTACCCTTGCCATAATATAACTAAACAATTATTTTGGGATCCTCTAAGTTGAGCCGCCCGATGCTGGCTGAATCCTCCCCCTTTCGGTTCAAGTGATGTTTGTGACATTTATAGACTCCGTTATCAACTCCGCTGATTATGTACGTACACGCTTATCCCTTTCTGCCGCGACTACCCCTCCATGTCTTTCTCGTTTTGGCTTACCTCCTTCCTGCTCCTCTCTCTCTCATTTGCACTTTTCGAGGGCCGGCAGGAGGAGGGGAAAAGGGCTTAAGTCGACAATTAAAGAGGTCCTGAAATCATAATTTCATACCAAAAAACTACAACCAGCCAACCTTGGTTAGCCCAACGAGTTGGTGCAAATGATTAGTGACTACTGACCCAAAGGTCTCGAGTTCGAATCCCGGTTAGGGTGACAAACGATGATGTTGTCACTTTGAAGAGACATGGATGTTAACTCTCTTTCATGTATCCTTCTTCTCCTCTCTTCAATTGCGTCTGTTAGGCCCTTGATGGCGAAACATAACACTTGAACAAGGAAAGTAAAAGAAAAAAAGAAAAAAAAAAAAAAAAAAAAAAAAAAAAAAAAAAAAACTGCAACAAAGCAAAAGTCGAGTACGACTATTTGGTTTGAACAATGAATATTAACCGATGAATCCTAAAATCGCATCTTCGTTGCGTTTAGTGATGAGAGATTGCGGATAAAATCTCCTCTTAAAAAAAAGGGCATTTGTTTTAAAAACTATGAGCACAAGAAAATATAACTTGATCTTCATCGAGGGAACTCAATTTCAAAACTTTGAAAATCAAATCTGTGGATTTAAGTTTAAATCTTACCTTGAGGCGGAACACTGTGATAGGTTTCCCGGTGGTGTTGTTCAACTTTTCCCATAGTACTCGTTGCAGGAATAAATCGACTCCAGATTTCTGGACTGGTTTGTGGACTTCAATCGTGATGGTAGTAACATCCTGTGACATTAACACAAAAAATGGTTAACCGGTTGTTGATTTAAAAGAAAATAGTATCCGATGTTTTTCGTCTAGCTTTGAACATTCACACGAGTGCCCTACAGGCCTCCAAAAAATTGCGTGATTACGGGTTACACCAACATTTTGGTGAAAGCCATCATCTATCTATGCCATTAATTTTTCATACCACAAATTATGTTATCACCTTCCTGGCAAGAGCCCGAATGGCTCACATTTGTATCGTTCCAAAGAACCATATTAAAAATGTCGACTGTTGCGCTGATTCTATTTTATGTACTTTATTGATGGGAATCACGTGACAAAAGTTACAATCGGAACCAATCGTGGAATATAATCAGTGAGAAAATTAAAATCCCTCTTCAGATTATAAAAATTAATTTCATGGACGACTCACTTACTTTTGATAGATGGGGCTGATCTCCAATAGCTTCTACTTGACTCAAAACAGTGCTGATCCTACAAACAAACACGTCGAATGAGGTTAAATTAAAATTTTTACTAGCAATATTTAGGCAAAAATGAAAAAAAATATGTTGGCGCAATCTAGAATAGAGACTTCCCAGTATAATTTTCTGCCATTGGGGTAAAGACGAAGATAAAGGTGGAAGGAGGGGAAAAATCTGTAACAGCGCATCAACTTCAAAATTATTCGCGATATTTTTCTTTCACTCATGGATCCTAGTGTTTCTGGGTTTTCCAGGCTTCTGACAATATGCCAAAAAAAGTGAAAAAATTGGCAGGATGGAACAATCCCGATTAGGTGCTTGGGCTGGCGGCTAAGAGAAATAACTGCATTGTTCCAGTGTTCCTTTCTTTTTACTTCCTCTACAAATGCTTTACATACATTTTAATTTTGAAATTTTAAAAATTTTGTATTTTAAGACATGCTGAAGATTTCAAGATAAAGGTTCTTTCAGGAAAAATAATTGATAATAAACAAAATACTTTTGTATGATGCACATTTTTACAGAGAATGCATTCTTTCAGGCGTAATGAATTTTTTTGTCTGTAATTAGGAGAGGAGTCGGAAATTTTTTTGTAGGTCAGAATATTTGACTATTTGCCTAAGCATTTGACAAAATGCCTGATTTTACTGTTTGCCTTCGACAGATATATCGCGAAGCACGCTCCGCCACTGAAGCTTTCGCAGAGGGATTCATCTTCTCCCGCGGATATAAACTTGTTTACCCCCGGTAGAGGCCCGATCGGGGAGGAATGGAGGTTGGATTTTATTGGTAAATGCCACCACCCAGGCGGGGGCTGGGACCTGGAAAGGAGAGGGGGTGTCAGCAGTCAGCGTTTGGCGGTTAATTTTCAAGGAAGCCAAGCGTGAGGCTGGCACTAGCTGAGTCGCGTTGTCGCGAGCGCTTTGATCTCGACTCTCAAACCGAGCAAGATCAACGACACATGATTATCTTGTGCGGATAACGTATTGGGTCCCCAGGAACAAGTGTGCAGCCCTACAAACCACGGCTGCCATATTTGCTGGCATGTTTGAAGTTCAGGCGGCGGGAAATTATAAATGGGGCAGATAGTTAAATTTTGACGGTCTACACAAGTTTGTGAATTAATGGCGAAGAGCTCACGAGTTTTCACTACTTTTGAAAAAATAACTCACCAAACCTACGAACTTTCTTTGGTTCTTCTTCAATCGCTTCTCATATTTTTGAATGTTGAAATTCTAAAAATTCTGTATTTTAGGGGATGCTGAAAATTTCAAGGAAAGTGTCTGTTCAGAAGCTAAAATTCGCTCAAAATACTACTGTGTGATGCAAATTTATACTGAGAATATTTAGGATTTTCCCTCGAATTGGAACAATGATAGATTGTTGAATCCATTATATGTATGAAGTTTTATTATTAAATAGGATGAGAAATAAAAATCCAGAGAAGAAGCCAACAATACAAGACGGCGAGAAGTCCTGGAACTCGCACTCGATGAAATATGCAAGGCGTGATGATACAACTATTTTAACTCGACGGACGGTAAATTGCCTACGCGAAAAAGTGAAGGAGAAATTGGAGCGGGATCCTCCTCCGCTGGATATCGACATGGTAGTTCATACATTAGGTTGCTCTGTATAAAATAGGGTATTATGGTTAGTATATTAGAGTACTCTAATATACTGCCTAAGCAATATTATAAGCAACCTCTTATATGAACTACCATGTCGATATCTAGCGGAGGAAGATTCCGCACCAATTTTTTCCTTCAATTCGTCGCGTAGGCAATTTACCGCCCGTCGAGTTAAAATAGTTGTATCATCACGCCTTACATATTTCATCGAGTGCAAGTACTAAGACTCTCGCTGCTGTCTTGTACTGTCAGCTTCTTTTCTTTACGCGGAGACGTCTATAAAAAAACTACTTATTCTCAAAGGAGATTTTCAACATTTTTTTCTAACAAATATCAGTGTTTAAAAAAATATCAGTGGATCTTGTGAGAGTTTTTCACACTTTTTCACTTCAAATTTAACTCTAATAAATTGTATTCCAAAATTACCAAAAAAGGATTTCCTTGAGTTGGTAAAATTTAAAAACTCCAATGTTATAACCCCTGTATAACATTTTCTCATTTCCTAGAGCATTTTAGACGGTTTTTTTTAAAAATGTGTCTTTTGAAAAGTTTGCGAGTTTCTCAAAAGCTTTAATTCTGTTTTTAGACAGTCGTTGCAACAAGAGAACCAGTGCTACTGCCAAGATGCAGTAAGTCCAAGAACGCGATTCTCTCCAGAAAATCACGTCATACTTGGACTACATTTTGCAATTCGGAACTAAAATGTTTGGCTCAGTTTAGAAACAACGTAGGAACCATTCGTTTCCCTGTGCACACAAGTGTTTTTACTGACGAACTAGAAATTGTAGTTCTTAATTGCAAAATGAGGTCTACTTGGCAACACGTGTCGATGAGAAGCACGTGACAATGTTCACGCGCACGGTGTCAAACAAAATAGACAAGGCGTTGGATTCATAAGCATCAGAAAACACTTAGACCCACCACCCAGAAACAGTCAACCGCTGCATACGAAAGCAGTTCCGTTTCTCTGTGGAAACGCCGAATCCGTTCCGTGAATGTCACTGCTTTCTTCCCGAATACGAGGCGGCTTCTTCAAAGAAAGATTCGGAACTTTCTTACTTTTTTAATGATAAGAAAACATTGAAAAAAATCAAACGGTTTCCGCATTCTGCATGTTTAGAGCCTAGTTAGTAGTTTAGTCATTCCCCTGCAATTTTTAGGACTTCCTCTCCAGAGAAACATTCATTGTCCGCTGATGTTCCCGGGGCCGAATTTTGTCGGTCCTTTCGCGTAGAGGTGCAATATCTATCGATAGGGCCAAGTCGCATCACCGGCCAATCAGAAGCGCTAAGCCGGACCTAAGCGCAGTCGAGACTAGTGCTAAGCATATTTAATAACGGTGGAAGGACCAACAAACTTCGGCCCCTGCCGGCGCGGCGTCAGGTTAATGCATTACCCAACAAACTACGGCAGCTTTTTGCCAGGATCGGGTAATTTTTCGTATACTGTTGGAAAATTTCCCCTCGATTGGTTTACCCGCTCAAAATAGTCAATGGAAAACTTGCTACGTCAGAAATTTTGAGAGATTTTAAGATATAACTGTTTTCACTTCACCGACGGTAATGAGAAAATGTGAAATTGTAAAAGCGCTACGCTGCCGTATTAAGGCGGAATGCCGTATTAGCCGTCAGACGTTGCTAAATTTCCTTCGAAAAACAACACATTTTCAGGAATATGTGTGAATATTTCTCTTCGGATTTTGCAAAGGATTTTGTTCGAAATTTAATCTAAACAGTCTGTAAATTTCAAGAAAATATATTAATAACTTCCTTACAAAATAGAAATTTTCTGAGAAGAAATCTGGCAACATTTGAGTGCTCATACGGCGTTTTTCCTTAGTACAGCAGTACGTTGTAATGTCAGCGGGAATCATAATCTTCTGCCATCAAGTCGAAGCGACACCGTTAACGGCGCTCTGAGCAACTATTCCGCCTCGGATGTGTTGCACAGTATCAGACGAAAATGAAGGCGCACTGCCATGTCGTAAATTGACTGGTATCGCTAATCACCGTGTAAGGCCCTACTGATCAACCGATATGCGGCTCCCATTCGATCGATTATTGTGGAACTTGGTGCAGGTGGCATCCTTTGACGGGAAACTTGAGATGCAACACAAATTTTCAAAGTTTAATGATTCAGGATGGTAAAAGTGGGCTAAAATGCTATGGCAGCTCCTGTCGGATCGATTTCGGTGAAACCTTGTGTTGGGTAGTATAATTTGACGTAAAAGTCGAATTTTCAGTCAAATCTTCAAAATTCAAAAATTAAAGATGGCGGGAGTGGCCTGAAATGCCGTGTGACGCCTCCGAAATTATCCAACCCTGCAATCGAGGTATCTATTCTTTCTCTATTCGGTTTCAAAAATCGGCCTGCTGTAACGCACCCGTAACGTAGGCGCAAACCCCCTCCCCATAAAGCGTTTCGTATTTTATGAGCGTCCCTTATTCTGTACTTAACAGAATAAGGGACGCTCATAAAAGAAGTAGCAAAACTTTTTAGCCTGCCGAGATGCAATGGTTTTTAAAGCTCATCACTGCAACTCTTTGACCTGTCATTTTGATCGGAACATTCGCTGCCTAAACAATCTCAGCAAAAAAGGCGGACCGACGTCCAGTGGCGTCGGTGCCACTCAAAAACAGATTAAACTTAAATAAGGCACAACGGGGCGATGTTTGCGAGGGGGCGAAGCTGAAGTGTTGAAAATAAAACAATAAAAGAGGATTACGCTGGTAATGAATTGCACGGGAGGAATCGAATAGAAGTTGCGTGATGCATGTGGTTCGCGGCTCGGGCCACAGCGATGAATCGAAACATTCTCTCGCTCTTCGATTGTTATTGTGCGAAACACGTGAAAGCACGAGCGAGGGTGTCACTCCCAAAAACAGTATTAAATTATCATCGTTTCTTCCATCATGATCCTTGCTATTAGATATGCACTTCAACAAACTGTTGTAAGTTGACACAAAGCCATTAAATAACAGGGAAAAAAAACTATTGTAAGTTTTACTTTCGACCCGTGAGCACGGACCAACTCAACCACCGAAAACTTCGAAAAGTGTACGTGACACCTGTAGACTCATACGCAGATCCGGACCCTTTAAACGAGGGTAAAGAGAGGGTCCGGGGGCCTCTTCTAAACATTTTTCGAAATTTTGAGGCGTCTGATATGCAGTTTGGGTAATTTTTGGGATGAATAATTACCAAATTAAAGTGTCCTTCTTTCCTCTCTCCTCTGTACCTTCCTTCTTTCTTTCTTCCCTTTTTCTTTCCTCCTTTATTCGGGCGACCGGGAGGGGGAGGGGGTATACGTTCCCTACACTACCCCTCTGCGGGCTGATTATTGAAATTGATGGACAAAGCTATATACAAAGAAGACTTAGAAATTATGGAGAGATCGTATTGGTTGAAATGAGCGGTTCTTACAGACTAAGCGAGAAAATGCTGTCTTAACTATAGGGTCCCTCGTGGGTTGCCGTTAGTTAGTCTATTACCCATCTTCTTCGTTCATTGCAACCACCCAAGTTCACCAATAGGATCCCTCCATATCCTTTTTGTCTTCTTTGTCTATGGCTTTATCTATCAATTTCAACAATCGAGCCGCTGGATCCGCCTATGCGCGAACTCCCTTGTCCTGATGGTCTCGGTCAAAATCGACCGAAAGTTTTCCCGATAACACATCGAATTTCGAGTAATCGAACCAAAATCCGATCGATATTGAGCCCAGGGGCAGATGCGGAGGAGAGCGGCATTATATGCCTATTAACATTACTAAGTGCGTGCGCGTTAAGTGTCCCCGCGGGGCGAGGGCGGGCTGGGGGTGACGGGGCGGGGGTGGGGAAAAGCTCCCGGCGGCCTTTTATTTTCGGCCGGGGCCGGGGCCACGTGCCAGGGCCGGCTCGAGAGGATATCTTGCGGGCGGACAAGGCATACAAACACGGCGACCCTGACAAATCAAACAACTCATCCCGATTCATCCCTGTTGCGCGGCGCGCGCTCCGAGATAATTTTCGCACTTGCTGGATTAGACGCCGCGGGCGTGTCATAAATCATGGGAACCGACCGTCCGCCCCGTCCAGGTTGCAGAAATTGCCAATGGGCCTGTTGTAAACTTTTGCTGGCGCAAAATAGGACCACGTTAAGCGGAAAAGAACCAAGCCATGTCGGCTACTGCCAAATTTAGCTGGGCAATTTAATTTTTTACACGAAGACGTTTGTGCGGATTTTCGTTCAAATTTCAGAGGATTCTCTACATAACACGAAGCAAATTCCGGAAAATTTTAGAAAGAATCCACCGAAACGTTCTCTTTTAAAAAAATGTAAATGCCTTGTTAAATTTGGCAATAGCTGATGTGGCTCGGTTCCTTTCTGCATTAATCCTCTCCAGACACTAAAAATAAAATATAAAACACCGATATCTTTGTGATTAGTCGAAAAAGCTCAAACTTTCATAATTATCATTAATAGTTAAATAAATAACACTAAAGTGCAATTTTAGAATTGGCTAGTCTAAATCTTAATAAATAAATAAAGTGCCTGATAAAAGGGTTAAATTGTAATAATTATAGGTTTGTACTTCTTCTTCTTCTTCTTTCTTTTCGCGGTCCAATGAGAGTTACTTTTTCTTACTTTGCACGAGTTCAGTGGAGTTGGGATAACCTTGAGTCTCATTCCAGGTAGAGATAAGGTGAATCTACACCGAAAGTTATCAAACACCGAGATATCGAATAAATTTTCTTGAATAACTGGTTTAAACTTTGAAAACTTTTACTCAGACAATTATGGAACGATTCATGGAACTCTTGCGCGTAGTCACATATCAACTAACAACTCCTAGGAAATCCCTTTGGTAACCCGATATTAAAGCTGAAAGTATCCAATTCAAACCAGGGTAAAAGTAATCGATAAAATTAAAACGGAGGAAAGTAAATGAAAAAACTGTTAAAACTCACCTCTGCGAGGAAGGCTGAGAATAAGCTTTCAGATCTAAGATAGCGTTCAAGTCAATCCTGCAAAAGAAAGGAGAGTGGAAAATAACGTCTAGGTTACATTTCTTGGCACAACTGAGAAAAAAGTAGATGAAGAGTAAATTTTCATTAATTTTTATTTTCTTTAGCGAAAGTATACGTGACAGGTTACAACTTACAAAGTACTTGTTACGGATAACCGCTGAGTCAAGGATGATGTTGGAAAACTCTCAACACACACAGCCAAAAAATTACTTCATTAAACTGCGCTATTTGTGATCTCTTTCTTTCTTATACAATTTGTAATAAAACGGTTTAGACATTTATTTTTGGGTGGATGGTACATGATTTGAAATAACTAAGAATAAGGGACGAGAAAACATTTCTATTCCTGACGAGCGCACTACCTACTGCTAAACGTCCGAGAAAGGTTCATTTTATTCGAACGACGATGGATAATATTCAGTTGAAAATAAATAGACACAAAATTGTAAATTGATGATTTAATAATTAGTAATACTTAATCGATAATTGGATGATTCAGTCATAATGGCTTACCTGCTTTTTTCAGTCTCTACGATGTTTGCAGATCCATTGATTGCTCTGCAACAATAAAATCGCCATGTAAGAATATTTAAGTGTCAAGAAAAACTTAGAATGAACCATTTGGCTACCAGGCAGAGTATATAGTAAATTATTCATCCGAGTTTTACGGTGAACATGTTACAATTGTTACACTCGATAGAACGTTCTCTTAGTCGAAAGACACTTATGACGTAAAGCCGCTCAAGTCAATTTTTTTTTGGCCCTGAGGCAAATACTCGACTTAGTAATGAACTTTCACCGTAATAAATGATAGATGATACATAAAAAATAAAAATATTCAATTCTTCATAGAAAAATATATCAAGATAAATTATTACTTGCAGATTCGAAAACAGAGAGCAAAAAAGAGAGAAATAAAGAAAAGTCAAGGAAAAATGACACTGAAAATAAAGAAAAAACCTTTTTTTTTATCAATATAATTCGCCGCAGAGTGAGCTCGTATTTACCGACTTAAACTAGGAGCAATCGGAGCATTTTCTCGTGCCAATTAAAACTACGAAGAGTTAGTAGGAAAATGTAAGAATGGGGTCAGATTGTTCATCCAGTTAGCTTCCCGGAAAAAGCAATCGGCAAAGCTGGGGCGCAGCGGAGAGGAAAGGGGGGCAGGAACAATTTTCGGAATTGGTGTAACATCTTTACCCGGAAATCTTATAATAAACAGGCAGTCAAAGGATCAATTGCTGCGAGAAAAGAGGCTACGGGTGGACGGGGGGAGGCAAAAGGGGCACGGCCGTGGAAAGCTCTTGCCTAAAAAAGACGCCGCACAGTGGATTGAGTCAATTAGAGAGGTCGGACATGAAATTTTTGACGAAAACTGAAAATATGTATGTTTATTTCGTCACAATGGAGATGTTGCATGTGTGAGGGATTTTCGATTTGACCATTGATTCTTACGTAAAAGTTCGCGAGAAACACGATGGTGCCGCTGGTTTTCTCTGAAATCATTTCCCAAGCTCAAAAAAAGCTCTCAAAGTGAGGCCAAAATGGAGGAGATATCCCACCCTACCCTGAGAGTCCACCTCTACATCAAAACAAACTCTGCATGCAAAGATAGGGAGCAAATACATTAGCAGGGTTGCCGTGTTTTCAGTTTTGGAGTCCCCAAATAAAGTGGCAACCCTGCTAATGTACTTGCTCCCTATCTATGTAAGGAGAGTTTGTTTTGATGTAGAGGTGGACTATCAGGGTAGGGTGGGATATCCCCTCCATTTTGGACTCACTTTTGAGAGCTTTTATTGAGCTTGGGAGATGATTTCAGAGAAAACCAGTGGCACCATCGTGTTTCTTGTAAACTTTTATGTAAGAATCGATGGTCAAATTGCAAAGCCCTCACACATGCAACATCTCCATTTAAATTTCAAGGGGTGCTTGTAGAAGAAAATTTTACGAGGAAACCAATGAGACCACTTTTAGAACCTCAAAATTTTGTATAAACGGAGTTACAAGCGTTGAAAGTTTCCAAATTTTGTCCGACCTTCTCCATTGACTCGATCCACTGTGCGGAGGCGGAGGATGTCGGAAATTCCGTGAGATTTCCTCGGATCAAATGGGAGAGCGCCGGATCGGGAAACTCGACTACAATAGGGCAACGTGAAGACATTCGCCTTGTTGGAATGCCTTAATGAAATGTCATAACGGCTCTACTCCGTAATGGCCTCCGCCACCCCGCCCCCCACCCTCCTGACCTCCATCCCCCCCCGAAATATCAAACACTCCCCGACATAACTTACAACTTTCAAGCGCTAGGTTCAAAGAATCACACGTTTTTCCTCCGAACCTCTTCTTTTTCCGACCGCGTTGCCGATGCTCGATGATGATTTTTTTTCTCAAATAAAGAAATATTTCTCTTTCTTAAATGAACAATTTAATATTTTTTTCTTAAATAATAAATAATTTTCTTCTTTTGTAAAAAAAATTTAATTTCTTAATCTTTCCAACCTAACCTTAATCTCTTATTCTTTTTTTCTTTAATTTTTTTTTTTAAATTTATTTCTTTCTTTAGTAAAAAATTTCATAACTTTTTCGGCCATTTTTTTTACAAAAAATAATATTTTTTATTTTTTAAATAATTTTTTTTTGTAAAAAAAAAAATGGCCGAAAAGGTTATGAAATTTTTAAAAAAAAATAGAAGCAGGTGACCTAAAAAAAGCCTGCATTCCTTGAATTTTTGTAATATGACTCAGGAGGAGCATAGATCTGGCGCACAGTCACCCCGGGGTAGAGGGCAGGGATCGAGCCTCCCAGTATAGCCGACTTCACGGAAAAAATAGGAAAGTCGGCAGAACCAGCGGCTGATTAAAAATGCACCAGGTACCGTGCGGTAGTTACGACAACTACCACGTGGTAGAGGACACAACTAACCTGGTAGTTAAAACAACTACCATGGTAGTTATCGTAACTACCGCACGGTAGATGGCGCATTTTTAACCAGCCGCTGGCTGTGACGACTATCCTATTTTCTTCCGTCTGAACTTAATTAATCATTTTTTAGAATTTCGTGCTCAACGACGATGGAAGTAACGATGCAAGACACACAGTGCTTGAGAACTTGTTGTGAATTGAATAAAATGAGTCAGATAAAACTGATACGTTGAATAACGGCATTACTACATTTCTATCTTTTTTCTGAGCTTTAAGGCACTTTGGCAGCTGTGTAATTTTATGCTTTTCGCTTCAAATACGGAGAATTCGGCCTTTAACTCCTACCACAAATTCCTCAGCGAAGAACTGTGTCCATTCTGAAAACGCTGGCTCCGGGAGATATTCTGGACCTCCATTACTTTATTATTACACCGAAAGCATTTCGCTCCGGTCAAAGTTAGTCCAAAAGAGAAAGCAAGCATATCTTGGTTTTAATTTCTAATACTTTTTTTTTCAATTAAAATAAATGCTGCTCTTGGGGACTGTGCGTGTGATGCATATAGATGACCACGAATTTACTGAAACTCTAATTTTCACACCACCACGAAAGCATGCTTTCATTTTAAAGAATAATATTAGCAGGAGGACAATTCATTTTTGCTTCAGCGAGAAAATTTCAGAAATTTGCCGACCCCATTCATCTCATCATGAAAACAAAGCAGGAAAGTTTATTTCAACTGAATGACGCTACGTTTATGGCCGCTGATGAAACGACGCTAAAACCGTTTCAAGTCTGCATTGTACCAACAAATTTCAAAACTTATAAAATGAAAAAATCAAATATTGTCATGCATTAAAAACTAATGATGAAATAAGTGAGCTGCAAAAAAATCATGTAGGTAATGCCAATCGAAAAGATAGTCGCGTGACGAGGACATTAAAACGCTTTTTTCAAAAATGTAGCTTCTTTCTTTGCCGTCATTCATTCCCGTTCTTCCCGTTACCATTTTTCTCCTTTATTTAGATTGACACCCCCCCCCCAAATGCTGCCACTACGAAAAGAGATTTTGTTTTTCCCCACATTAGAAATGTGTAACGAATGAAGAGATAACCATGACAGAATAAAAAGAAAAATACCGAAAATTTAAATTGAAATTGCTCTCCTCGCTTAAAGCACTTTGATGCTGGTCAAATCATGAAAAACGAGGCATCTTACCGAATTCTATTCTTGACTTCGAGATAGTCCTTTGGGTCTGCTAGGTCCTTCTTGTTTAAAAGAATTAAATCAGCCAGAGCTACTTGTCTGAAACAAATCAAGAAACGACTTTGAACAAAAGTTCTATGATGGTTAATTAACATCATTTGAGCAGCTTGGAGGACGAGGCGCATAAGTGCAGTTTTCGACAAAATCGAGATATTAGTGATTCCAGCTAAAACTAGGTTTGAAATAAATTCTGTGAAAAATTCACTGATAAAATCTAATTTTTAAGCATCGAAATGTGAGCTTGAACTTTCTTTCCGCCATAAGGCTTCATATAATTTAGAAACTTTTGCCTTTTTTTTCGAAATAGCAAATAGTGCACTTATGCGCCTTGTCCTCCAGGCCCCTCATTTGAGTTATTATTTATTCGAGGATTGATTATAAAACGTTACGCATCGAATCTTTCATGAGAGTAAAACGGCTCAGAATATATGTCGCTGATAATGGAGATGTTGCATGTGTGAGGAATTTGCGATTTGACTATTGATTCTTATGTTGAAGTTCGCGAGAAACACGCGATGCTGCATGCCACTGGTTTTCTCTGACATCAACTCCCAAGCTCAAAAAAAGCTCTCAAGTTGAGGCCAAAATGGGAGGATATCTCACGCTATCCTGAAAGTCCACCTCTACATTAAGACGAACTCTCCATGCGAAGATAGGGAGCAAATACATCAGCAGGGTTGCCGCGTTTTCAGTTTTGAAGTCCCTAAATAAAGTGGCAGCCCAGTCAATGTATTTGCTCCCTATCTTTGTTAGTCTTGTAGTTTGTCTTGATGTAGACGTGGACTCTCCGGATAGCGTGGGATATCCCCTCCATTTTGGCCTCAACTTGAGAGCTTTTTTTGATCTTGGGAGTTGATTTCAGAGAAAACCAGTGGCACCATCGTGTTTCTCGCGAACTTTTACATAAGAATCAATAGTCAAATCGCAAATCCCTCACACATGCAACATCTCCATTCAAGAGAATGAAACGGCTCAGAATATATGTCGCTGATATATTCCTCTTTCCCCGAGGTAACCGCGATGAAAAAACTGGGTTCATTACTACACTAAATAAAACCCCTCCCTATAGAATTATCTTTGCACAGAGAAGAATTGTCATCGGGCCAAGGAGGCGATTTATTACGCAAGGTAAACTTTATATTGCGACGCAACGCGACTAAGGTTTCCCTGGCGTAATTGGATGTTTCATGCCGTCATAACTGAAGAGTTTCATTGCCACGAGGAAACTTACATTATCACTAAAATTTTCTCATGTATAACTTGACACGATTTTTCCTCAGCGCGAAAATGAACAGCCAGAGAGGTGCCGTCAGTTGGTCTAACATGAGCCGGTTTTTGACTTTGAGGCTTTGCATTTTTGCAGTAAATTTTTTTTTTCATGCAATCAATTTTTGTTGTGGATCAGTCCCACATAGAAGAGTAAGAATAGCCCATTGAAAAAATTTTCCAGCAAACTGGGTATTTTTTTTTAAAAAAAAATTGAGGTGGCTCATGTTACCTGCAAGGTGGGGTAACATGAGCCACCCTATTGGTTTTAATTTAAAGGCACATGTAAGCCTACTATAGGCTTACATGAGCCTCCCAAAAGTTTTTTAAAAAAAAAATTGAGTGACAAAACATTAAAAACCAGGCTAAAAACGTACAAAACTTTAATTATCCTACAATTTACGTCAAATTTCAGGCGAACTAATACATTTAACATCTAAAACCTTGTATCTAACAGGAAATCATTTAACAATCAATAGCACTAAGTTACTTTAAAGGCACACCGACAAGACAAATGGGACCTAAAGTCAAGAGAGATCAGTCAAAGTTTCTTAAAAAGTATATATATAGTAGTATTTTGGGCTACGTTAGATTCACTTTTATTTATAGTAGTATATATGTAAGTATAAAATTAATATTGACTTTAATTTTAATTTTTGGAACTTTTTGGCTTTGTTTTCCCCGCAAAATGGTGTGGACTCAGCACCATTTCTCCACCTTGTTACATACAGTTCGGGCCACTTCTTAGTGTTTTTTTCTTTTTTTTCTTATATAAGTATATATAGTATACAAGTCTTAAAAAGCCGAACAGTAAATATGAAAGATATGTGAAGGAGTTGATTTATGCTCTAAAGGAATGCCAATTTTACTAAGAATGTATCATGAAAACCATTACTGTATAGATTGCTCCTGGAAGACTTGCGAAAATTGGGTGGCTCAAGTTACCTCCAACATTCCAAAATTTTGGTTTTTCCACAAAAAAATCGGTCAAAAACTAAAATGTTCAAAATCCAATGCATGGGCATGAAAGTTGGAGGTATTTGTGAGGTTCGGCGACCGGCGAAATTATTCTGTGATTATCGATAGTCACTTTTCAAGGAGGTTAGTTTCAGAGGTAGAAAAAGGGGCAAAAAATTCTAAAAACTAAATAATTTATAAAAATTTCTTATCGATGGAAAAATGTGTCTCTATACCATTGAAATTCCGCCAAGACACGCCACTATCACATCATGTTGTTGTTTTCGTTGTTTACTTTCGCGACTGTGCTGCCACAGACAAGAGAAAAAAAAATCCCCAAACGGCTCATGTTAGACCAACTGACGGTGCTTTTCTTAGCTATAATAAAATCAATGGCGAGGCGTGAATGATCGATTATCGATATTATTACCCCATTTAAAGCAGTGGTAAAGAATCGATTATTAAGGTGTTCGTTGCGAACACCCTATTTATCGATTATTTTCCATAGATTTAAATAAACGACAGATAAATCGATAAGTCGCAAAGCACGCCACGCCACTGAATAAAATATACTTTACTTAGTCCGAAACAGGCCTATTAAGTACTGCTTTTTCTCGCAACTTTTTTCTGAATCCTACACAACTCTTTAAAAAAATCGTGCATTGATGCTCAAATGTTTCTCTGAAGAAATAAAATATAAACGGTGCAGTGATCTACTTAGAAATGCGATTTCATCAGAGGCAGAGGTTTTGCGAAAGGACATATAGACGGTCCGTTTTCGGGGAAGCTGGAAAATGAGGTAATATTGCTTAAGGGACTGAGGGANGGGGGGGGGGGGGGGGGGTGTTAGTGGTACAGTTACTTCACAGACCTGAAGTAATGGTGTTTTTTTTTGTATTGTATCGAACAATCTAGGTGAACTGTGGTGAAAATCTTAGGATTCGCTCCACTTACAAATTTAGCCCTCTTCAAGAAATTTTCCCCCCGAGACTGATTTGCTCTGAGCTTGTCGAGTATACTTTTCCTCCTAGTATCCACTCGATGAGAGTCAGCATAATCAATCAAGTTGCGTAGGTACTTTCTCCGGAGACAAAAGAAGGCAAAGAACGAAACATGGGTTGAGCAAACGGCGAGGGCGGAGGGGCAGAGGGGGGCCTTCAGCGAGAAAGCGAGAGGGGTAAAAACGTGCTGGAAACCGAGCGAAAAGTGGGCTCTTTCAAGCATGTCACGAAAGGTGCCAGAATGTGCTAAAAAGAGCGCAAGGTGACTCAATATAACTACACGGGCACATACTACATTTATGTATCTACACGGGCACATTCACTGCATGTCACCCCTAAATTAAAGTGCCTCTTGATGACAGGGTAGCAGGTTTTCAAAACAAAAATCAAGGAATTTCGTCGGAGTTCAAATCGATGAACTCAAGGCATTTAGAGGGTCCTCCATTGTCCTCTACGTAAAGGAAAAGCTGTGAATGTATAAGGCGTGCGGTGCTTTTTATTTCAAACAAAAGAGAAAAAGACCGACCTTCCGAACGGTCGCGTACAAAATAACCAAAAGCTATAAAATTCAAGAACTTTCAGGTTCAAGTGTGCAATTTCCCAAAGTTTATGGACATTCAAGAAATTCAAAATTCAAAAAGAAATGAAAGTCCTGAGGAAAATATCAGGATTTACACTCCGAGACAGGCAGACCAACGAGTCAATTCGCGAAGAGTGCCAAATTCAGGATATTGCCAAATGGACCAAGATGCGCCGGAAAATGTGGTCGGAACATGTTGAGAGGATGGACGGGGAAAGGCTTGCCAAGATTTGTATGGTAGGACGACCTCATAGCCAAAGGCAACCCGGACGACCGCCCAAGAGATGGGCACAGAGCTGCCTTTCATCCCCAGAGAATTAACCCTCTCTCATCGCCATCATATGTTATTTGTCATAGTTATATACTAATTTAGAGGCTAAACAAACAGGGTCACGGCCCTAGTCAGAAGGTAGAAGAAGAAGAAGACAATACTTTTCCCGTACATTCCCAAGAAATTCAGTGCCTCCTGAACAGAAAAATGCATTACTTTTTCAGTACCTTTATTTCACGAAATCCGAAAAATTTCAAAAATTTTAATTCCTCGCTCAAATTGGGACAAAGGTGACGAAAAAATTCCGGACCTTCAGCGGAATTTCCGCACTTTTTTAGTGCTTCGGGACCGCCCTTAAAAAATCAATACTATTTCCGAACTTTCCGGAAATTCCGGACCTGTAGACACCCTGCTATTGGATCTCATACTCCAGCGTAGAACGTACTCAAATTTTTGGACAAAGCTGTTGGATTTTTGGACGAATCCATTGTTCTGAAATTTATTAAGCGTTGAATAATCCCGTCTGCAACAGCGCAGAGCACCCTGTGGGGCTCGGCAAAAAAGCGGCAAACAAGGAGCCAGCGACGATTAATCCCTTCGCGACGGGGGAGGGAAACTGGCAAATCCGGAAACTTGTCGACTCTATAATAACTCTAATAATATTATAATTGGTGAAACAGAAGAGACCGGGGGGAGGGCGCAAATTGAGACTGATCCGTCAACATTGACGTTTTGCCCCGCGCCCCTCCCCCACGACCACGAAGAAATCTATCCATGGATAGGGGCGGGGTACGTAACTCCGTTACGTACAAAAGGATGCTTTGGTAATGAAATCAGAGTCTCTTGGAGTTTTACAAGCCTCGATGGAGATAACTCAATAATCGGAGCCGAGATCCACTCTACGAGGGGCGCGGCGGGGAGGGCGGGGGCGGGCTTTTGTCTCCCGCGGTGGGCGTGGTGGTGGCGGCGGAGCAGTCGCGGTTGATTCGATTTGCATGACAGTTTGCATACTTAACGCTAACATTTTATTGGAAGCCGCGTTGCCGCTCGCAGTGAGGGAGGATTCGAGTCCCTTTATACTGAGAGTAAAGACAATGCGAGTCCATTTCTGATTGGTTCCCGTGTTTCAGGCCTTCACCGTGTCACAAACTGGAAAGATTACATTTTCACCCATGGAGATGTTGCATGTGTGAGGGATTTGCGATTTGATTGTTGATTCCTCTGTAAAAGTTTCTCTAATACGACAGTATTAGAATTTTCCCGCTTGTTTTATCTTGTCAATGTTTTCAAGAGTCTGGACTCAAGATCCAATGTGTTTTTTTTCCAGTGTGGGTCACCCTGTATTACGACGGGTGGCAGCAGCTATAGAATGGAGATGGGGGAGTTGGGCGGTACAGCAGGTATCGCGGCGAGACCCGAGAGAAATAACGGGGCACGAGCTTGAAAAGGGGAAGAGGGTTGGGAATGAGAAGCAGGACCAAGGAGGCTCTCGCGGTGAATTGGATTTCATTAGCGATTAACGGAATTGTGAATTGTGTCCTGCTGCAAAATGGAGCGTGTGGACTGCAAACTCCGCGCTCTCGTCTTAATTACACTCCTTCCGCTTCCGGCCTCGCCATCCTCTACCCCTTTTCCGCTTTTCCACCATTCTCTCTCATTTCCCGTCCAGGTTACCAATCTTCCGCTTCCGTCCATCTCCGTTCCGCTCACACCCTTTGGTACTTTTCAACTCCGTACCAAAACAGTGCAGTGCTCCCATCTCACGGAACTAGTTCCGAAATGCGGATTTTTTTAGATTTTCCTGAAATTTTCCGGATCTATTGCATTTTCCGGAACTTTTGAAAAAATCTAAAATGGATCCCGGAACTTCCGACGGTTATGAAGTGGGAGAAATTGGAACATACATGGAACGCACTGGAAAAAAACACATTCGATCTAGAGTCCAGACTCTTGAAAACATCGACAAGAAAAAATACTCTTGATTCAATCGGATTTTTGCTTGAATCAAAACGAAATCCGCTTAAATTAAGAGGCTTGGTTCTTGATTTAAGCTAGATTCTGATTGAATCAAGAGTACTTTTTCTTGTCGATGTTTTTAAGAGTCTGGACTCTAGATCCAATGTGATTTTTTTTTCCAGTGTGGAAGCACACCAAATCACATCGAAATGACCACGCTATCATTATTCCTGTCAATCGAAAATGATATCATACTAGGTTCTTCCCATTGATAGACTGATTTCGTTGCTACGTCATTGCATTCTATTGTAAAAAAAAAACACGCAATTTTGCTTCTGATTCGCGCCCTTCGCGCCATGTTGGTAAAATGCGTCTAATTGTGTTTCTTGCAATCAAAATTTCTTGTGTTTAATGAGTCTTTAATTGATTTTTGACCTGTCAATGACTAAATTGTAATACATTAACACAATTAACTCACACCGACTTTGTACATGAGGTTAAGTTGGTTTGTTTTGGTTTGAACCAATGCTACCGACGATGAAGCCCCTAGACCGCTAAATACTGATAAACTGGCCGTGACGGCATTTTTTACTTAGTTTCAGGGCCAGATTAAGGGAGCGCATCAGGAGCGACTACAACACGGGTGCTGAAATGAGAGGAGAAAAAAAGTGAGAAGAAACAAATGATACGGAGGAAAGAGGAATAAGGGGGGGGGGGAGAGTGAGAAAAAAAAGAAGAAAGATTTCTAAGTTTGAACTGACGACGAATTTATACTTTACATTGCTTTACAGCTTACTGTCAGCCTCTCGAGATGACACACGCTCTCTCAACTTCGCTACAGCCAGTGAGGAATGCGTGAACGTACTGGAAGATACCATGCACCTTAAGGTTCGCCTTCAATTGGGCTGTGTAGGCAACAAAAGTACCGGGGAGCGCGAATAGTTATCTTTTCGCTCCTTAAGCTCATAAATGTTTTAATTCAACGCTGCGCTGTATTAAGCGTTTCATTCCATTTGCAACTGCTTGTAGAGTTGCGGTTCGATAAATTGTGCTGTAATTTGGAAAATATCTTCAACTGTCCACCCTCTGGACAACCCTTAGGGAAAATATTACCTAGATGACCGCCAAAGAGATGGGCACGAAGCTGACTCTCTTCTTCTGAGGATGATTGAATATTTTATAGCTGTTTTTATTGATTTGACGAGTCCTTTATTTTTTATGAACTTTAGATTTTTAGATTTTCAATATTTGTATAAAAAACTCCGTACTGGATGACCTGACAAACAGGATAGAAGAGGATCCTTACCTAATAAACCCCTGCCCTGCCCTTGCCTTTTATCGTAAATCATTCATACTTTAACTGCTCGCTCAGAAGAATTATGAATAACTTTTTGGATTTTTTCCTTTTCTCTCGATAAGCCTCATATTTAAACTTCATTTTTAACAGCAAAAAGGCTTTAATTTGCTTTGCTAAGCTTTTATAGGGCATCGTGTGTCCTTTTAGAAATTCCATTGTTTTTTTCATATCAAAAAAGTATTAATGCCATCGTAGAAGATGGATAGAGGAATAACAAGTCAAGACGACTCACATGAGCTTTCAAGAAATAGGATTTCTTTACACAACGAATAAAAGCGCTACTTAAAGGATGAAAATGCTTCGCAACAATTCAATGTTGATTTAATGATTACACTTACCTCGTTGCAATATTAGTTCCTGGCTTGCCATTTTCTACGTCTTCATCGCACTCTTCGTCTAGTTGCTGAAATTCAAACAGAAATGGGGGGAAATTAGGAGCTGTTGAGCTCATCATAAAGTGGTAGTGAGTAAAAACAAGGCTTGAATAAAATAAAAGATTGGTTGATTGGAACAGATTTGGGATTTAGGGACATCGGGCCGATTCTTAGGATTCTCTCGTTTGTATGCGTTTCTTTATATATGTTACCTTTAATTAATTTGATACGACAGCATGCACTGGGAAAAAACACATTGGATCTAGAGTCCAGACTCTTGAAAACATTGACAAGAAAAAATACTCTTGATTCAATCGGATTTTTGCTTGAATCAAAACGAAATCCGCTTAAATTAAGAGGCTTGGTTCTTGATTTAAGCTAGATTCTGATTGAATCAAGAGTACTTTTTCTTGTCGATGTTTTTAGAGTCTGGACTCTAGATCCAATGTTTTTTTTTCCAGTGTGGCATTTACATAAATATTGTTATGTTTTACGGGTCCAATACATAAAGCCCTCAAATCAAAATTACAATCAGGACAGTTTAATGATACCATACTCAAACTTACTCAAATTTATTTTGGTCCTCGGCATTGCAAAGAGCAAGGCCAAGGGTCAACTCTTTTCGTACTCACGAGAGTCACGGGGTCAAACTGCATGGGTATAAGGGATGAAGCTCCACGTGGGTGGTGCAGTGGATTTCCGCGGCCCACATGAGTCATGAGTCACGCGAGAATGACTAGACATTCCATTCGGGGTAGGCGCGAGCAAGGAAGCCAGGGAGCCTTGCAGAAGGCCCGACCATGGCGCGCGGAGCCGTAATTACGAAACGCGCACTCGCGCAAGTACGTGATTGTGAAAGTCGCGTACGCCCGGGTAAAGGGTGTGAACTAATAATATTTATAAGGGAGCTTTCAATGGAAATACCATCCCGGATTAAGTCGATTATTTATCAAGCTCCTGGCTTTAGTTGAATAACTAACTCATTGGCAGCCGCCCCGCTCCCCGCCGCCCTGGGGCCCTTCAACCCTCTCCTGCCGTGCTAAGGAAGAACGCCGTATGAGCATTCGAGCGTTGCCAAATTTCCTTCGATAAAAAGTTTACGTTTGAGGAAAGTTATGGATATTTTTCCTTGGAATTTTCAGGAACTTTAGGTGACGTTATGAACAAAATTATCTAAAAAAAATTGGAAGGAAAATATTCATAGGTTAACCAGGAAATTTGTGTTTTATCGAAGGGAATTTGGCAACGCCTGAGGGTTCATACGGCGTTTTTCCTTAGCATGGCAGCCTTGGCGTCGCCTCAGCTTGGACAAAAGAGAAGCACAAATTAAATACCTGAGCTTCGTGCTGGTGATGAGCGCCCATTGTCTTTTGTCATTAGCGAGGGGTGCGGTTTATACTTTATCCACCTCCTCTGCCCTCCTACCCCTTCTTCATCGTCTTCGCGAAGACGTCTCGCGGTTGCCATAGAAATTACAAAATGAGGCGCCTCAAGCTCTTCCTGATTTTCCGACAGATTTTGGGAAAATTACTTAGGGACAGGAAGACGCATAGGCTTTTCGACAAAGAGTCTAATTTTTTTCCATTTTGGGAAATCCTGATGAAATCATGATTTTTCCTCATTTTGGACTGCTAAATCCTGATTTCATAATTTTTCCAAATCCTGATCAAATCCTGATTTTTTGCGGAGAAAAATTAACAGGCGGATAGCGGATAATTAACGGGAAATAAGCGGACGGCCGACTTTTCCCAAATCCTGATTTTACGACCGAATTTTCCTCAAATCCTGAGGAAATCGAGATTAAATCCTGATTGACCTCAAATCCTGATAGAATCGGGACAATCCCGATGCTAGACACCCTGTTCGATCTGTCTTCCAAAATAGTTACCATCGAAGACATATATTGTGCGACAATCGATTTGTCGGCAAATTTACCGTTTTTATGCGAATCTATTACTAGTAGAAAGAAAACTCAGTTCAAACTGACATATTCTCGGTTTCTATTTCTTGAAAATTAATGAAAAAAAAATTAGCTCATAGATAGCTAACAAATCACAGGTTTTCAGTAACTTCCCATCTCTTAGAGTGCCCATTCTTCGTGGTCTAACTTGACGGAGTTTATCACAAAGGAACCAACCCACATCAAGTTGAAACTGAGAAAAAGAGGTTTGAAGTTTCATTCCTCCATAAGACTCAATGTAGAGAGTAGACCTAAACCCCTTTGTTTACAAATTAATATTTTTTTTCGACTTTGAGTTTTTGGCAGGAAAAAATATACAACTAAATGAACTCAAAAACACTCTTGACTCGATTTTTTTTGAAAATGTGGGTTGGTTCCTTACTGATGAACTCGGTCCCAATATGGTCACACAAGCCGAATGAAATGAAAGAGATGTAGCACGAGTTGACGCTTGGATAAATTTAAAAAACCGACAACTCTCTCATTGGTTGACACCTAGCACCCTTCTCACCTTGCCGCTCTGACTTTTGTACACACCCCGCCGTATTGCGACACCCCCTTCCCAGCATTTTTTTTTATCACTCTTCTATTTCGTTTTTTCCTCTCCGCCGTTCATTACTTCACAATTGGGGAAAATTAATTTTATAATTAAAGCCATCTTGATTCTTCGATTCGGACGCGGCGAGAATTCGTAATGGGGAGGTGGTGATCCAATGAATATTAATCGGTAAACGATGAGTCTTCCCTGAGGACGAGTTTCCCTGGCGAATACAAGGTATTATGGGACAGAAGAGGATAACATCAAAAACACATTCATAATTTTGATCGAAGTATGGCTGTTCAAAACACAGTCTTGAGAGAAATGGAGGATAATTTCTTTTCTCGCTGCAACTCTGATGAGTCGAAAGGGCGCAATGCTTGGTGAGGATAAAAAGGAAACCTTTAAAAGTTTAAACTTTGGATGAAAAAATTACATAACATGAGAGCTTTCTACACGACCAAGAATGATGAGCTGTCTTGAATTCTTCTGATAAATTAAAATCAAAGGAATTGACTTTATTAGATTAGATAAAATAAAAAATCTGATTCATTCAAGTTTTCCACAAATTAAAATAAACCAAACATTAAAAGGAAATATCCCTATTTTAACTATTAATCCCAGAATTAAGGTAAACCTACATAAATAGCCCAAGTTGAATATGTAAAATAGGATAAATGTAAGTATAACTAAAGAAAAAATTACTTGAACAAGATAATATCCTATTATTATTTCTCAAACACTATATCCCTTTCCTGATGTACACAAACCCACAAATAAAATGAGACATACCTCTATTAGGTATCAAATTATTAATCAATTATTTATAGTCCAACCCATAAGCCTAAATCAAGCAATCAAATAAATTTGTGTGATCTTTATCAATATTTCAGTGCGCTTATAACTAGAAAGTCGAAAACAGAATTGCTATCGCCGGGTGAGTTTCTGTTGCCCAAAATATTTACTAGTCATCGTCCCCTGTCGATTTTTCTCAATTTTGGAATGGGGAAAAAAATTTCGAGATTATCCTACGTAGTTTGAGTTGAGGCTTAGAATCGATTGCGCATGGTCCCGACGCACAATGGATCGAGTCCATGAGGGAGGTTGGACATTTGGAAACTTTAAAAGCTTATATCTCCGTTCATACAAGAATTTGAGGTTTTAAAACTGACTCTATTGGTTTCCTTGTGAAATTTTCTTCCACAAGCACCCCTTGAAATTCAAAATGTGACGAAAATAAACATCAAAATTTGCAGTTTTAGTCAAAAATTGCATGTCCAACCTCTCTGATTGACTCGATCCACTGTGCGACGCTTGGCGAGGCTTCATGATTCGAGAAACCGTCAACGACAAGTGTTTTTGTGAAATTGCAACCACTTGCGTTTTTTGCCATTAGCGCGGTCCACCGGACTCGTGGAGCTTTTTCAACCAGAAAATCGGACTCAGCGGGTCATTTCCAAGCGGACTAGCTTAGTTTCGGCTCGATCAGAGAACTTTCGATTTAGACCCTAATAATTTAGTCTATGAGGCTACTTGTTACAATAGTAAATTTAAAAAATTAAGCATTTTTCATCAATACTTACCAAAAGTCCATTTTTACCATCCACAACCGTAACGATCCCTAAAAATAGACAAAAGAAGTACTTTACAAGAGCAGACACAATTTAATTTAAAAAGATCAAAGACCATTTGCTATACTGAATGTTTTTGGCCATTGTTAAACGAATGTTTGCAATAAATTATGGACATTTACGAGGAGATCCTTCAAAACAGGATGGAATTTAAATATTTCGACTGTTTGAAAATTAAGATAAAAAAGTAGAAATATTTATACAATTTAGACTCTGCTAAAGACTAAAGAATGCGTAAAACTACTGGCAGATATCGCGAGCATCAAGATTCGCCTTCAATTCGGCTGGGTAGGCAACAAATGTACCGGGGAGCGCGAATAGTTATCTCCTCGCTCCTTAAGCTCATAATGCATGTTGATCTCTGTAATAAACTTTTAATTCCCTTCGCAAGTACTTCAGGAATTGCAGTTCGATAATTTTGTTGTTAATTTAGACATTTTTACAATTTAGACTCTACTATGCCAAAACCCTACTTATTTTTTACCAAAAAATTACAGAATCTGCACCTTACCTTTATTTCTTCTTTTCCTACCCAATTCATTTTCCCGATGAAAAAACTACCCCCTGCACTAAAAATGGCGCTGCTGAAATCGAGGTACAGTTCCGTAAAAGGGCTGATATGTGAGGCTACTGAGATTTGGTGACCTCATTTTACATTGTTTCACAATCGCAAAGATGTTGTAAATTATCTATTTTTAATCAAAGAACTTCTCGATTCCGATTTTTCGCGATTGCCTTTAACCGTTTCGTGCGAATTTTTGCGATGTTTAGGGCTGAGTTTGCGGTGATGTTTGTTTCGAGGTAGAAAGGGCAAGAAGTTAAAACAATGTTACGCAAAGATCCAAATTTAAAAAAACACCGTGATTTATTTTTATTTTTTTTTGGGGGGGGGGGAGGGAGGGTATGATTGGGCTAGGTTAACAAGAAAGGTAGGATCACGTACCAATGGTTCCCGCGTCACGTTAGGAAAGGTACTCAGCCAACCCGTACCGTACATTTTACCTTCTGCGAAGTTCAATACTTCAACCACACTGTAAAAGCTAGCGAGAACTTTATGAACTCGTATTCTGAAATCCCTCAGAAATGAGGGAACGTTGTAGAAAAAAAGTTCCAAGGATGTCCTATGAGGTAGGATAGAATATTCCGCCTGCACCCCTAAATCCCTGGGATAATTTCTCAGAAACCATTAAAAATAGAAGGAGAGGGCTCTAAGAGAGTGGGTTAAGACCCCTCTTAAGATGGCTCAAACGGAAAAATGTCATGGAAGAAAATGGTTTTTTTTTTTTTTCGGTCAAGAGAATCGTCTCGAAAAGTATCCCTTATTTGATTGGGGCCATCTTGTATTATTTAAGTCGTGTCTCTACTTTTTTGCTCCATTCCACTTCAAACTAGGACTGCACGACCTCTCCTGCCGAATGAGATGTATATCCAACGTCCAGAGGATCGAAATTTATAGAAAGTTAAATACATCTTTCACCGAAACTTTAGAGCAACATTTTTAGTCGGACAAAAATGTTTCATAAACTGCCCTCCCGGGAAAACTTGTTTTACTGAAAAGCTGAGTCTGACCTCTGGGCTAATTTTGTCTTATTTTGTCTGGAGGATTCGCCTTAACTTTGGGGCTTCTCTCAGATGAAGATAAATTTGACCATCACCTTCGTCATTACTTTTGATAAGGAAATATTACAGTTGAAAAAATAGTGCCGAAGCCGAACTAAAAATCAAAGGAAGAGTTATGAGGGAACAATCAGAGGAATTGAATAGCGACCAAGAAACGCCTTCAATTTGCGTCGATACTACAGGAGCAACGCGAGCGGGAAAAATCCCGCCAAGCCGATTAACTCCATAACCCAACTCTGCCGTGCTATGGGAAAACGCCGTATGAACGTCCGAGAGTGGCCAAAGTTCCCCTCTTAAGATATTAATTTTTGAGGAAAATAATGAAGATTTTTCCTTGATATTTTCTGATACTTTAGGTCACATTGCGAAGAAAATTCTCTGGAAAATCGGACGGAAAATGCTCACAAGTTTTCCTGGAAATTCGTATTTTATCCAAAAAAATTTGGTACGCACGAAGGTTCATACTGCGTTTTTCCTTAGTACGGCAGACCTCAACCAGTATGGTTGTGAGTTATAAGAAATCAGTTGGCTGGTTCAGCCGATTAGCCGATTTCAGTTGAAAATTGAAATGATTCCTAGAAGTTCATAGTTCACTCCATACTATCAGAGAATGGAGTTCAGAAAATGGTTACCACTGATCCATTTATATTAGAATTTCCACAGTCGCGAATCAGGAAACAGGAATACTTCATTTCCTCACTTATTTTTACGGGACTTATTCTCATGACTAAATTACTATTTTTAACTCTTTTTGATGAAGCTGATATTCGATTTATCTTTTTCGTGAAGAAAGGCATTATACATTTTTGTGAAATCCTGATGATTTTGATAAATGCAGTATCGCACTACATGGTCTCTTGTTCAAATTGTAGGTAGAATAGAATGTTAAAGTGCTGTAATGTTAATGTATGTGAGGAGGCTTTGTTTAACATTTCATAGTCAACTCAGAAATGTAAATTAAATATATTTCATATTCAAGATTAAAACTTTCAAGCCACCAAAAAATCAAGTTCTACTCAAGTCAAATCCCATGCTAAATCAGGGTTTAACAATAATTAACACAAGTTTTGAATTCCTTCATTCTTCCCTGATAGATCTTTAATACTTGCCGGATAAGAAAAACACAACTAAAATGAATTGATAAACAGAGTGTAACAAAGATTTAAAGTTATTTTCGCAATGAAGTATTGAGAAAATCAGTTAATATTCATTGGCCACTACTGGAGGAGACCAGGGATTGTGAACCCAAATGGATTCAAATGATTCAAGTTTCACGGAATTATGCACAAATGTTTGATTTTTTCCTTGTTCCCAGCTGCGGGTAGATTAATTTTTCATTGTGAGTCTGAAAGGTTATTCTAGGGATTTTTTACCTCAAAAATCTGATTTTGCTACTAATTCCTTAATTGTTTCCTAATGTTTACCTGATTAATCCACATTTTCCAGACTTCCAGACAAGGACCCCTTTTTACAATTTGTAAGAATTCTCACAGGGCCTATCAGAGCAGAGCCTCTCTAGAACCTTCCCTACCTCTTCTATCAGAAGGGGTCTCCAATCCTCTTTACGGTTTTGGGAGTGCTCAGAAGAAGACTAGTCGAGCAGTCCATCAAGCTGCACATCAGGCGGCCTGACAAGCAGCATGGCATGCCAACTGGGCAAGCCTCAATATGGATTTACCACTAATTAAAATAAATAAGCTGTTTGACAAAAGTCTGATTGTTTGATTTGCTTCACGCCCGATCAGGTGAGTTCCAATGAAATTCATTTTTTCTTCAGGGTGATACCATTGCTATAGTCCATGCTGCAAACAATAACAAATGTGAGGTATAGTCAATGACTAGCTTGAGGTATTTTCTAAGGGTTGAATAGCAGATGCTTTGGCTCTTTCGAAGTACCCATCCTTGCTGAAAATAATCAACCCTTAAAACTACTCACCCGCCATTCTTTATGACGTGGACTATACAAGTGCTCTAAGTCAATGTTAAGAGAAGCAGAATTACCATCCAAGTAGATATCAGCTCCCAAATTTTCATCAAGCCAAAACATTGTTGCTATTGGACCTGAAAAGCAAATTCAATATTTTACATATATGACAACAAGGAATGCAAAATTATACGCAGACATTTATGACAAAATATTGCAGATAATTTCGATACAAGTCTGATAAAATACCAGTTCCAAGAGAGAAAATACTGCTAATTATGGGCCTCTTGGATGAGTAATGCAATTAATTCTGGTTTTTACAAGGAAACAGCAATCAGAACTTCTAGCTAGATGAAAACCCTTGCGAAAAATAAGATATCTTCAATCTTAGCCTGATCTTTGAAATACTTTAGGGTTGACAGGAAATCATTTCCCAGATGGCATTTCCATTTCTGGAAATAAAATTGTTTTGTTATTGTTGGCTAAAAATTTGTTCATTTTTATAATGAACAAAAATATACTTCTTTTCGGTTTTCGTTAAGTTTGTGCGAAGATGGAGTTTCTTAATCTTTAAGCCAAAATTAAAAGTAATTTTTACTTCTGCACAAATTTAAGATAGAATTAATTAATTTATCTTTGGTATATGGTGAATATTTGGCAGTTTAACCAACTTTTTTGACTTGCTGTCTCATGAGTAAATACATTTTTTGCCATCAAGTTTTCAGAAATTTTCCAAGAAAGACAAACATGCGCAATAGTACAAAGATTCAGTGAGCAACAATGTCAATTGTCATAGCAGAATATAATGCTAGATCGAGATCAGGGTTAATAACCCTAAGATAACACATTATAAATGATAAAACAGTGAAATATGAATCACCCATTTTTATACAGGTCCTTGGTGTTATGAGGCCATTAATTCTTTTAAAAATTTTGTACTTCATGAGGTTTGTGCCCTAGAACGGATTTCGGACAATCCAATATTCTGCTTTCGTTGTTCAAAGGATTATACAAGAGGTGCTGTGAGTCATATTCCTCATAAAAGACTTGAAAGAGCTCTTTGCAAGAGCGCTAACTCTGAATAAGAGAAGAATCAAAAGGGCTTACACACCTGGGTCTGCTAATCCAGTAGTTTCTAGTAAAATATAGTCAAATTTCCCCTTTTTTTTCATCAAATTTTCAATTGCTTGGACTCCATTGTCTCTGCAACAAAATTAGATACCAGATAAGTAAGTTCAAAAACAGCCAAAAAACAAAACAGGAGGAACATAAAAGAACATTACACTAATTTCTTACAAGTCGTGTATAAAGTTATTAAAAGATTGATCAAAATTAGAAATACAATTCCATTTAAGATTCTGAACTGGCAAAATTTTAAAAAATCCTCAAGAACCCTCTGGCGTTGATCGCAACAGTCATGAATATGTCAAATTTGAAGTCTTGGGTAATTCAATACAAATAATCTTCCACTCCGCCTTCCGTGCTCTATTGATGGTTGAACACATGGAATAAAATCAACCCATATTTGAAAAATTGAGTCAACAGTACCTTCAAGCTTATCTGCATCATATATTTTCACCTTCCAAAAATTACAAATAAAGTAAAGGAAAACATTTAGTCTCAAATAAAAAGCGACATTTTTGTGCATGAGTAAAATTTTAAGAGGAGACAAAACTTAAAACCTCTCTCTCTCTTTCAGTTTCGCATCCATTAGTCAAAGGTTCATACTTAAGGCGAAATCGATGGTGTAAGTCGGCAATCACATAACTCGTTTTGCGACGTCGCAGACTTCCTATCATACTTTATTTTTTAAACGGAAAACTATTCAACAGCAATTCTTTAAAACTGCCATGATTTGTCTTCTCTAAGGGAGGAAAATTCTGCATAAACTTCAAGGAATGATGTCCATTTGTTCTCCTTTAAATAAATAACATACAGGCGGAGATTTGCAGACACCGCAAATGAGTAATGTGATTGCTGACTTACACCGTCGAAATGTTCTTTTCTGCAGTTACATATTTGCTCATAATTGACTAATTAGAGCCCCTGTCATTTTTCAAGCAATTCTTTCATAAAAAATCAGATTCAATTCGAGAAAAACCACCTTGGCTCCTCAGCGGCCCAATTATTGAAATTATATCAGCACGAAAAAACAGGATATAGCCCTGTCTTAACCATGCACTATATCGCATTTTGATGTCTGATCAGGGTGCTTCAAAACTTAATAATCGGCCTGCAGGGGCCAATTTGACTTATTGTCATTAATACTGAGAATTTGTGAGTATCCGCATTATGGAGTCTGATTCCCTAGTAGGTATTCTTTTTTACAAGAATGTGTCATGGTGCAAACACTACCAGACAAGTGTTTTGATTTACATCAGTAATCTCAGTGAAAAACGATTTTGAAATAAAAAAAATTATCATACTTGACAGAGCAACAAAGACACCCATTCTTCAATTCAAGCCATTCTTCATATAAATTACCCTCTGCTCCAATGGCAATACTTTTTTCCAAGGCACTTCCTGAAAAAGAGATTACGAAGAGATGGATCAGTTCAAATGTGAGAATCCTAATACTAACGACAATAGTTAGTACCAAAAGAGTGGTACATACAGTTGATTAGAAATAATACAGTAGGTATCAGTTTATCAGAAAGGGGTCACCTTTTGGGACTTATGTCAAAAAGTACATCGCTGTCAGCATTGACTACCCTGTAAAAATGTAATGAATTGACATAAATTATGCTTGCATTATTTTTAGCTCTCCCTTGCTTTAGCATATAAACCTATTAGAATCCGCATATTTTGGTAAATTAGTGTAAAACCAAGATTCCATTCCTTGAATTATTTCCACCTCAGTACAGAAATTACTGCGAAGAAGCCAAATGAAATAACTAATAAGGGGGTGGTAGACTGATGAAAAAGTTAGGATTGGTAATATTCATATATTTTGAGCAAATTGATTAATACTAAAAACTTGGGAACAGATAAACTCTATCAGAGAAGCCCTTGAAGGTCAATCATGAAAGTTTAAAGCAACCTGATAAGGTATAGAAATGTTACATATTGCATGGTAAAGACAGGGCTACGTCCTGTCCTGTCAGGCTGACATAGCTGCACTAATCTGAAGGTCTCTTTCCTTGAATTGTCAGTTTGTGGCTGCAGATCATCCCGAATCAAACCTATGTCGCAAGAAAATAATCCTGTCAGTTTGGCTACCAAGTTGTGAATGACGCCATGCAAGGTTGATCTAAAACTAAGTTATGAAGAATATGAGAGAGGACAAGCATGTAGTTCAAAATTCATACAAACCTTCCCCAAATTCATTTAGGATGACAGCGATTTTCTTTTCATGTTGCTCATGTAAGATGTAATTCAAAAGAGTAGTTTTTCCAGCTCCTAAACAACCTGTTATGATTGTCACAGGAACTGCAGTAAAAGTTGCAGGAACCAGAGAGGGAATTTCTTCATCAGAATCCATACTTTCAAAGCGTTGATTGCCACGGAAAAGAGTTGGAGAGAATCGTTGACTAACTTTTGCTCAGTGAGCAAGAAAACTCCGAACTTAGAACTCTTTGAGCAAAAGGTTCAATCTGTGATAACAAAATTAATAAAATGATCTGCTTCTGTCATAAAAAAAATAGTTATTAAATGCAACTTTGACCGAGACATACCGCTTAGAAAATGAACATTCGCATAACAAAAATTAATCGAATCTAGCTAGGTACTTCATCAATAAGGACGGACACTTTATTATCAGTCTACTTGATCATAACTTGAAGAGTAATAATGAATTAAACGAGCCATGATATCGATTCATTACAGGTACTGTTCAATATCAAATAAATCTACCTACTATGTCTTATTCTTATCACTTATCAGCAAAATAAATCCTAACCTCTAAAAACAAACCATCGATGACTGAGGGATCGCGACTCACCATTTGCTGCCATTGGTCAGTTTTTTCCCTCCAAATTATAGACCGCGCTTTTCAATTTGACGCGCCTGCAAAACACGAGCGCAAAAAGCATTGGGAATACCGCGCTACGAAGATATCTACTATTCACTTGGTGTTTGTTACGTCTTCAATACAGGAAAGTTGAATAGTAAACTGCAAAAACACTGGTAGCAGTGGCGTGCGGTCCGGATAAGCAAGGCAAGCACTGCTTGCCCAAAGATTTCAAAAGAAAGAAGAAAATTACACCTGTTACATGCAGTTTTTACATTTTAGCAAATATAATTTACAAAAGGTGTTCAGTATGTAAATTACATTGAAAACAGAAAGAGAGAGAGACAGAAATACGTAGAGAGAGCGGATGGAGGTGGCGCAGCGCGCTGCGCGGTCTAAACACGGGCCGACTCATGCGAGAATCGCTTGCAATCAGCTGAGCGGAGAGCCACTGCTCGGCGGCGGAATCAAGGCGGGCGGGTAGGGCGGTACGTTCCGAGTCCGAGCCCTTCGCTGCGCGATCGCAGCTCGCTTCTCTTGGCCATGTCTTGGCCCGTCACCGCACCGCAGCGCGCTGCTTCTGCCTCCTCCGATGCGCTATCTTGCTCCCTCTTTCCGTCGCGGTTGTAGCTGCTCCTTCGGAGCAAATGCCCTTAAATTCTATAAAATTTCGCTCACTTGATCTAATTAGTGATGAATTAGAAAATTCTCAAACATGTTTAAAATGCAGAAAATTCTAATTTTCTAACTTATTTTTCTAATTTCTAATTTTAAACTCAAAAAATTTTAAATAATGTAGAATAAAGACTACAATATCTCAAATAAGTGGCAAAATTAGGAGTTAAGAGCATGGAGCCGTCCTCTAATGCTCAATAACATTCGAAACAAGTTGAGTAAACGAAATCATAAGTAAGAGAGAGAGTAATAAAACCACAGTTTTTCAAGACGTTCCATCAGATTTCATCCGAATAATAGAGCAAATACCGTAAAATTTTAACAATTTTCTAGGGAGGCTCCCTGAGGAGGGGAAAGAGACTACGTTAACCCCCCCCCCGGATGGCGAACGCTAGAGCTTGCCCTGTCACTAAACCCACCGCACGCCACTGACTGGTAGAGTAATGTTTCATCGAAAATGTTGAAATTTCCGAATATTTCTCATTTCATAAGTTAAAAGGGATGCTTGGTAGAGGAATGGGATTTCCGGAGTAAGTCTGTCCACCTGCGGTGGTAATAATTACCTGAACAATCGAGTTGATTTTTGCGGCATGTTTAACAGAACTTTAGAGATGAAGCGCCTTCTTGGTGGCAGATTTTTATTAATTAATTATCAACAGAAATATGATATTTTAAAAATATGAATGTACTATTCTCTTCAACTTTTTGTTTTTAGTGTACCTTAGGCAGGAAAACTACAACTTGAGGTAATGATTTTTAAAGTGTGATGAGAATTCAGTCTTGGGGACAGGTTTTTCTAAAATATTCATCAACAACCTTGAATATGAAGTTTTCGGAGTTTAAAAATTGACATTTTTTGCCAATTTCCATGACTTCTAAATCAATACATTTTTCCGTGCTTGTGTTGAAAAAATAGTGTGATTTTTCGGGTGATACTTTCTCCCTTCATACATTTTACCGGCTGCATTTGATCAACTTGGAATAATTTTCCCTTTAAGTTTCTGAAATAATATTATTTGTGCTTGCTACCAACGGTTGAACCAACGATTTCATTAAAATAAACCTGTCAAAGACAACAATAAAAACAAAGTAAAAACCATCTGCCCATCCTCATAAAATCGTGATTTACGCAAACGGATAATTTTCAGGCGATTTTGTCAAGATATTGCATAAATGACGCATGATCCCCAAGATTAAGCGTAAAGTAAGGCACGGCATTAAATTTGATGAGTACTTATTGACGGATTTACAATAACATCATCGTTTCAATCGAAGCTCATAAAGCGAGTTAAATTTGTGTTTTTCGAATAGATGATTCTTGGCGCTCTCCGGTATGTTTGTTGCCTATGCGGCTAAATTGAAGGCGAATCGAAATTGGCTGAAATCTATTGACAGGTTTACGAATGGTTTCCGACTAGCAAAGTTCACGGAGGGAGGTCGCATTCTGTTTTTCAAGTAGATAACAATTCGTGCTCTGCGGTATGTTTATTGCTAATGAAGAAAAACTGGAGGTGAACTCAAAGTGGAATATCCTCTCTATTCAAATAAAATCATTTTTAAGACGCTCGATGGACGAAGTGAGGAAGGGGAGTAAGACGGCCCAAAGGTCGGATTCCAAAGAAGAGATAAAAATTCAGAGTAAGAGGAAAGTCATGAAGAATATTGTCCAGCGGGAAATTTTTCTTTGAAACGTCGTGTTTTTATTCAATTAAAATTATTTGCTCATTAACCGCCAACGGGCGATTTCGACAATTTCGCTGGCCGCGAAGCGGCCTTTGGGAGCGCGTAGCGACCCGGGAGTTAAGGAGTTGGGAGCGGCCAGGGGGCGGAGCCTCCTAGTATCTGTTAAAGAGGTTCATCCATGGTCGTTTAGCAGCGGGTATACATGGAGTGGAATTATAATGGATATTTTCCGAATAAATGAGATGTGTATGTTCGAGTATGCGCGTTCTTCAGTATGTATGTTTCTTACCTATCGACGGTGAAACTCTTAAAACCACGTATCTCGTTTGCGGTTTTTCAAAATCGCCGTTCCTATTTAATTGTTTTAAAGTAGAACAAATCAACATCATTCTTTACAGTTTTTTCAGAATTTGCTCCGTATGGAGAAGAAAAATCACAGAAATTTTTATGAGTTGACTTTGAGCAGCTCTCCATTTAAAAAATAACGAATAACAAGAAGTCTGCAACGTCGCAAACCGAGATGCGGGGTTTGAGAGTTTCACCATCGCTAAGCAGCATAATTGTGGGCGGCTTCAGGACCATATAAAGGTAGCGGAGATTTCCATACACCGCAAACGAGATACGTGGTCTGGTAGTTTCACCGTCGGTATGTTCGTTAATTCGAGAGCTACATGATATTTAGTGACAAACTCGTGAAGTTTTTACACAAGCTTTGACCCTCTTAAATCGATAGCCTTACATGCACTGGCACGGAAAATGGTCGTCGGCCAAAAGGTAGCGTAGTGTGTCATTTTCCTTGTCAGTGCAGATTTAAATGGTCAAAACTTGTGTTTCGAGTTTGTTTCTAAATATCGTCTCCCTCTCGTACTAAATTGCCTATGCGGTGAAATTGAAGGCGAGATTCAAGTGGACGAAATCTACCAACATAATCACACATCGTTTATGTACATTACCGTAATAACATACGCAACAATGCTAAAGCAAAAATGATCCGAGGTTTACAAATTCTTAATGAATTTGTAAACCTCAAAAAAAAAAAAAAAATTAAAAAAATAAAAATAAAAATAAAAAATAAAAATAATATAAAAATAATAAAAAATAAAAATAAAAATATGATATTGCTTTGAATAAGCAATATCACATTTTTCATCAAACGCGGTGAGACCTGTATTTGAAAATGTGATCAACTGAGATAAGGCTGGATACTCTCTGCCTTCAGCGTTATCTCCTTGATCCTTCAGTGATAGGACAGGTGCAGTACGCCACGCGCGCTGTGGCACTTACTGACACTAAATGCGTAACCTTGATCACAAGTAATTTTCAAGTAGAATCAGGAGGCTCCACTACTCTCCTCAAGTTTTCGTTTGGTTTATTATTGCGGTAAATCAAATTGTCTGCGTGACGTAATACAACTAGATTGCGTATTTTTCGCTCTACTTTGTACGTGTAGCCGGTCGTAGTGGGGAGTTTTTATCGATCATTATCTTTTTTTAAATCTCTTACTTTTGATTCCTTTTTGGCGGCAATGCGCCAAATCGTGTTGCGGGCCGATGGCTATGAAAGAGGATTGTCTTGGCGTTTGATTCAACGTGGATACCTAGTGGATTGTTCGTCCAAGCCAAGCGCACAACACACTGAAGTTATCCAGACAAGTTCCTACAACCGTGAAGATATTTTAGTTTTTTTCGGCGGAACTAATTATACCTGGTCATTGTCGGATGATACTTTTAGCACCGATAAAATCAAAGCAATTTTTCAACAAATCAATGTACGCGAACTCCGAACCACTTTGAACAAAGTAATTTACTTTGGTTTACCGAAGAGATTCGATGCCCGCGGTGGGGATACGGTCGATGCTCAAATTCATAAAGTAAATGGGAAGGTATTAAACATTTTAAGGAAAAATCCAAACGTAAAATTCATAAACAACGACTGGATGAAAGAGGAGTACTTCCGATCAGATGGAATTCACCTCAACGGTCTGGGGAAAGACGTGCTTGCGGAGAAAATCGACGCAATCCTTAAGTCTTGGCCATGAGATTTAAGGTAAGTGTCTAATCGATAAAAAGTTCTTTCAGCAGCATCGTCAAAAAACTGAAAACTTATCCCTAATAGCAGAACAAATTATTGTTTTTCTATAAAAAAGTATTGAAGAAACATATCTGTTGTCTAAATGGTAGTTTTATAAAAAAAAACATGTAACGCTTATATTTAAAAAAAAATCCAAGTTCAGACCTGACCATAATATATGAAAAATGATAAAAGCTAGATAAGGTAATTTTTTTATAGACAATTTTTTTTTATTTTTTTATATAACGCATGCATACGAAAGTGTTAAAAGTGAACATTTTTATGTTTTTTCTTTTTTTTGAACATAAAAAAAGGTCATCTTTTTCGTGAGCTTTTCGCGAATTGGAATATTTTTTAGTATGTTTGCTTAAGCTCACGAAAACTAGGACTTTTTTTACATAATGGTTATATAAAAATTTTCACTTCGTATTAACACTTTTTAATTGACACTTTCGTATGCATTCGTTTTATAAAAAAAAATTAACTTTCGCACATAATCTTTATCTTTTCCTTCTATGGTTCTGCTACTAGGGTATACAATTCAAAACGAAAAATGCTTAACAGAGTACTGCCGTGCTGAGGAAGAACGCCGTATGAACATTCGAGAGTTGCCAAATTTCCTTCGATTAAATGTTCATTTTTGAGGAAGTGTTACGAATATTTTTCCTTTCAATTTTCAGAATCTTTAGGTAAAATTGCGAACTAAATCATCTGAAAAATTGGGAGGAAAATATGCATAAATTTACCAGGAAATTCGCATTTTATGAAAGGAAATTCGGCAACGCCTGAAGGTTCATACGGCGTTTTTCCTTAGCACGGCAGAGTAGCTGTAGTGCCACACAACGGTGTGGCTACTACAATCAAAGAGATTAACTTTTTTTCTTTTTAGACCAGGAGTTATTTCGATGTTGCATTTCCTCTTTTCACAACTATTTCATCTTGTGTACTCTTATGAGGAAGGATTATTCTTTCCCCTACGGCAGAAAGGCATCTGAATTCCTTCCCTGAATTTCCATTCTGAATGAGAGCGGATTTATTTTCTTTATATGCCCAATTCACACTATCAAACTTTTCATCCGACATAATTGGACAAAAAGTTAGATGGAAAGTTGAACGCAAAAAAATTTGATTCAATTACTCTCCGTTCAACTTTCCGACAAATTGGCGGCGCCGACTGGATGGACAAACGAAAAGTTGAAAGTGACGTCACATTCAAGTTTTCGTTCAATTTTTCATCAAATTGTTGTTTTCTCGCGTCAGTATCACACTATCAGTGGCGTGGCGTGCTTTGCGATATATTGATCGGCAATTTAAACCTATGGAAAAGTATCGATAAACAGGGTGTTCGCAGTGAACACCTTAATAATCGATTATTTATCACAGCTTCAAATGGGGAAATATCGATTGATCGCAAAGCACGCCACATCACTGCACACTATTTAACTTTTCATTACCACAAGTTGCTTTCAAAACCTGAATGAAAAGTTTGATAGTATGAATTGGGTTTTACGTCTCTCGCAGGTTTGGTGGATGGGGAGATACAGACGGGACTTTGACACGTAGCCACCTCCCTCCGTGGTGAGTCCTGGGTACTGGGTAGTTGTGAAAACAAATAACAAAATTATGATTTTCAACTAGCGGAGAGCTAAGCCTTGAAAACCTACTTGTATTAAAAAACAATTTCCTCTGGTTTTTCGAAAAAAAAAAAACTAGAATAAAATGACAAATAATGAATGAATGAATGCGAATGAATAATTAAATAAATACTTATAATTAAACATGAAAATATTATTAGAGTATATAGGTAATATTAATATTCAATATATATAGTATAATATTTTCTTACTCTGTCGAGGTGTTGTTTGAAGGCTTTTGAATGGCCGACCAATGCAAAGTAGAGAATTTTTGCTGCTTTCTCAAAAAATTTCTCTTTTACGGTCATAAATTGGTTGTTCAGGTACAAACACGCATGACGGCCACCTTCGCCTTCAAATATGTTGTAAATATTTGTAATATACCAAAGAGTTACATTCTAGAATACGAAATTGGTAGTCTGTCACATTAGCCAATGGCACTATGTCGCGTCCAAATGTTGAATAACGTTCTGGACTGCACTATACGAAAAAGCATTCAAAATAGCAAAGAGTTTTACAACCGTGGGAGAGCCACCAAGTTAAGTTAGTTTTTGGGAGAGCTGTTTTGGAAGAATAATAACACTTGAATTCTGGTGAATTAATACGATTTGCACTTTATTCACGATCTACCGGATTCCGAGAGATGGAAATTCTGCACTTGGTAAAAGATGAGAGAGCTAAAAGCGATATATGTATAGTCGTTGCAGATGGTCAACTCGAAGTAAGTTTCTTCGGTAACATCCTAGGGCTCGTGGAGCCAGAAAATCAACTTTTAGGCTGTACTGCATCAGCCATCCGGTGCACCGATAAAAAAGATATTAAAGATATGAGATGGTGCGTCTGATTGTATTCAAGCATTGGCTTGAGGTCTTAAAATACTTGTCATGGAGAAACAAAAAGAGAGACAGGAGAAATGAGTGCGAAAAGGATGGACGAAAAATCTATCTCGGGGTTTTAGGAAAAACATTGCGTATAACACGCGACATGCACCCGTATGGACTCTCGATCCTCTACCCTGTGAGAAATTCTCCTTTATCGAGGTGTTATGTAAAGGCTTTTCTGCCGTGCTAAGGAAAAACGCCGTATGAGCCCACAGGCATTGCCAAGTTTCCTTCGATAAAAATCGAATTTACTGGGAAAATTGTGAATATTTTTTTCCAAAATTTTCAGACAATTTTGTAAGCAATTCTTGTGGCAGAAAATTTAACGAGGAACCCCATGAAACCACTTTTATAACCTCCAAGTTTTGTATAAACGAGCTATAAGCTTTTAAAGTTTCCGGATTTTGTCCGACCTCTCCTATTGACTCGATCCCCTGTGCGTCATGTGAGACTGATAGAAGTCTATCTAATAGCTACTTCAGTATTTTTTAGGCATGCTATTCCCAAAAATGACCTTGGTTTTTTTCTATGGTGAATCACTTCTCCTAAAAATTGAATTGAAATTGGTTCCCCTTGAAAAACGCTATTTTAAAAAACGAAAAATGTATAAATAAAAAATAAAAAATAAAACAAAAATGGCAGATTTTATAGAGAGATGGTCGAGGAAAAAACTAGAGTTATTTTTTAACTCAATGCTAAACAATTAATAGGTGTCAACAGGCCCGCCACATCCCATCTCGGGCCCTGGTACCAATTTTCTGGCCCGGGCCCCTAGCACAGGGGGGGGGGGGGGGTCCGGGGGGCCTCCCCCGGGAAATTTTTGAAATTTTAAATCTATTTGGACGCATCATGAAGCTCTTATGATGGAGATTTTCCATCAATTTCTGCAGAATAATTACGCCTTTTTGTTTACTTTCAGCACCAAAAACTTTCGAATTGTTGCATTCCAAACATCTATAAATTTTTTTTTGAGGGGGCAGATGATAATTTTCAATTCTATGGGGAGCCGGGCCCCCCTGGACTCCCCTTTCGTACGTCTATGGCAAGGGAGTTAAACCATTGAAGTCGAGGATGCCCAGAAAGGAGCCTCTTAGCATCCGACAACGGAAGAAAATGAAACATAGTTACTAAAAATATCATTCTAGATATACTCAAAATCTTGAAAATCTCTAAAAAAGTAAGAAAAATTTTATAGTGCCCTAGCATGTTTTTGAAACTTCATTCACCTTAGCGGAATTTTTAGGGTAATTTTTTCACTTTTCCCTACGAGACAAGGGTTACACATGAATTCGTAGTGGTTTGTCACCTGCGTCACGGGCCCCGGTACCAGGGACCCAGTATCCCCCCCCCCCCTTGTGGCGGGCCTGCCCAGTCTACTATAAAGACCGAAATTTTTGAGTTTTTTTCTTTTTCACAACCCGTGTTATTTCTCTAATCAATGAACTTAGAGCGCTTAATATTCGTTGAATGTGTAACCAACTCAGCAAACATGAGTGCTTTCAAATTTATTAAAGTTTAAACTAAAGGACTATCTTGCTAGAGCCTTCAAATATTTTGGACCAAAAACTCCACCTTAATGGGACGCATTTCAAATATTTTTCTTTCAAATTTTCGAAAAGGTTTGTTCGAAATTTTATCTGAATCATTTGAAACCGTAAGGTACTTTTTCGGGAGACATTTGGCAACATCCGCATGTACGTACGGCGTTTTTCTTAAGAATAACTGTGCTTGTCTGTCAAGTGATTGATAATTCTTCAAATGTAGGTAATGGGTTGCCAGGATACACAGATTCAGAATGAAGCCAATCGGAGGATACAACTTAATTAACTTCGCCGTGGTGTTGGGTTGCGTCGCCAAATTTGAAGGCGAACCAGCAGCGATTTCGTCTCCGAGCGTGGCAGGCGGTGCGGCGCTCCAACCGTTATGCTGCACATATAGCAGCACCATCCTTATTTCGCGACGGATATGGATTTGCAGTTTAGGGATGAAAACTATGCTACCTTGCTAAGGAAAAACTCCGTATGAACTTTCAGCTGTTGCCAAATTTCCGTTAATAAAACACGAATTTTCTGAGAAATGTTGGAATTGTTCCTTCCAATTTTTCAGAGTTTTTACAAAATTTGAGCTAGGCACATCATTTGAAACTCTCAAAGAAAAACATTCATAAGCTTCTTACAAAATAGTACCTTATGGAGGGATATTTGGTAATATTCGGATCACTGGGAAAAAAAAAACACATTGGATCTAGAGTCCAAACTCTTGAAAACATTGACAAACATAAGGACTCTTGATTCAAGCAGATTTAAGCTTAAATCAAAAGGAACTCCGCTCAAATTAAGAGACTTGGCTCTTGATTTAGGCTTAAATCTGATTGAATCAAGAGTATTTTTTCTTGTCGATGTTTTTAAGAGTCTGGACTCTAGATCCAATGTGTGTTTTTTTTTCCAGTGATGTTCATACAGCGTTTTCTCCTAGCATAGCAGTGCGTGTCTGCAGATTAACTGGTAATTGCTCAAGTATAAGTAGTGAGTCCTCATTACCCATACAAATAATGTACATATCAATGAACTGTATAAACCGGAATCAGCTGAAGAGAACGAGCGTTTGAAGGTGCGGTCCCCGTGTTTTCAGCTTCACCTGAAAGTCTCCTTGGAAGTCTTTTTTATGATGCCCATGTCGATACAAGCAAAATACAAATCGATGAGTCATATAGACTAAACTACCGTGCTAAGGAAAAACGCCGTAAGAGCCTTCAGGTGTTGCCAAATTTTCCCTGATAAATCACCAATTTTTAGGAAAATGTTTAAATATTTTTCCACGAATTTCTCAGATAATTTTGAATGCAATTTGATCTAAAACTTCTGAAAATTTCAAGGAAAAATATGCATAATTTTCCTCAAAAATGAACATTTTATCGAAGGAATTTTGGCAACTCTTGAATTTTCATACGGCGTTCTCCCTTAGCACGGCAGTAAAGTAAGCCTAAGGAAATGAGAACTTGAATTTTTCCTTCATGTTCCTAGCCGTGCGTTGAAGTCTCCTTGAAAGTCCCTTTCATACTGACAACAGAAGTTCCCAAGTTTTCCTGAAAATTCATCATGGTGCGAAATTTGACAACGGCCATGCGTTCATGCGGCATTTTTCCTTTGCACTGCAGAATAAAGGCGGCATTTTTGTGAAACGGGTTTTTCCATCTCCCCGCCGCGCCGCACGGTGGATCGAGTCAATAGGAGGGGTCGGTCATCGCGCATCACGCGTCTTATTTTCTCTGATTACAGAGATTTTCCACCCTTAGAATAGAGCAAATTACTCTCACCTCGTGTATTTTTCGTCGTAGATTCCATTTTTTATCATATTTCAGCCGAATAACGAGTTTTAATACGACTTTGAAACACTTTTTCATAACTATTGAAAATAGGATCCTTGATGGTTTATTTTTCACGTTACTTTCGGCGAATGGGACCGTAAGCATCTTACATAAAGATGAATTTTACAAAACTTGTCTCAAAAACATTACTTGAGGAGTGAGGGAGGGCGGCTTCACAGGCCCCTCACCACGAATGTTGCCATATTTCTTTCAATTTCTGCTAACATCGTTTTTTGTTCATGTCAATTGGTTTCCGCAATTGCATACTGACACATATACGGAACATTCTGATAATGCTCATTTTTCTTCTCTTTTCTTCCAGCCAGTCAATAGACGTTTTCATTTTCATGAACCCTCTACTCTTTCAGTTATTCAACAAATATGCATATTTCAAATAATAGATCAATATATTAAAGAAATAAAAAAAGAGATGTATATACTGTAGCTTCTTTTTATCGAGTCATCCTAGAAGATTATTATGGGTACTTACCACAAGATATAAAAAATTGAATGTGCAGTAAAAAAAAATAAAAATAAAAAAAAAATTATATCATCTTCCATTATTTCGTTTTGTTACTCGAAGTTTGGAGTGAAGTTTGAAAAATTTTTATTGAAAAAATATTAAAATAGGAGGAAATTTATTTTTCATGCAAGTTCTGATCCCTTGAACTCCTTGAAGAACCTCTGAGAAGGACCAATGTCTTTTGAAGAAATTTCTTGTATTTATTCTTTTTCAACCCACAACCGATTTTTATTTGTATGGAGCTCATGGAAGAGTTCTAGGTATGATGAAGACATTTTGGAAAAAACGGGACTTGTGAAATATACAGTGCGCAAAACATACACCTTAAACTTTATCGCACTGTATAACACTGATCAAGTTAGCTTCATAGACTAACAGGAGGTTAATGTCTCGTCCAAAAATATCAACAAATCAGCCAAAATCAGTAATCAGTAGAAAAATTACCGAGATTGAAGGATATCGTGTGATGCACGATTTTATTGATGACATTAGAGCAAGATCAGTTCCCAGCAGGCGCGACTTCCTATCATTCAAATGGACCGTTTTCGCAGATTAGCGGATATTAGCGGCTAATTATTACATAATATCATTCCTGATAGTGTACTGGAAGCAACCCAACAAAGGATTTTGCGGACACTTGTGGACATTTTTTTATCGAGCTATCGAAACATTTTTTTGGGCGTTTTTTTAAAGCAAGTTTTGGAGGTGGTTTTGATCCTCCTAAAAATATGCCAATGTACATTAATGATATACCAAAATGTTCCTTAAAGAGAGGAGAATAAGCATGTTTAATTGAAATTTTGATTCATCTGCCACAGAACTCATACAAAAGCGAAATAAAACCTTGAGAATCAGACGGCAAATTTGATACCACCTGCAATGTCAGCTTTAGGCAACCCGCATGTCAAAGCGGAAGGATTCAAAGACCCTTGAACCATGGATACATTCATTTTGGAAGCTTAACTACTAGAAAACCAAGACAAAATATTTAAAATCCGACTTTTTTTTTTTTGGCCCATGACCGACCTCTACCATTGACTCGATCCACCGTGCGCCGGCCGCGGCACTCGGTCACCGTCCACCATTCTACCCTCTGGTTTTACGTTACGCACCGCTCTTGATCCTTTTTGAAGTTCTCACGCTGCTCAGGTCAAGCGGGGGTGCATAACGACCTCTCTCCAATTGTCGAACGTTTTCCCTCTCTTTGAAAGAAAGTCAAGACGGCGAACCAGCAGTTGACAACCCTCGACAATATTGACGGGGTTGCCAGACTTGCTTGGTTTTCGGATTTTCCTTGGGGACGCGCAATCAAATTCAATCAACCCATTGCGCAAAAATTGGCAACACTGCCCTCACATGCGGCCCAAATACGTGCCTCGGAAGAATAGGATCGTAAAGACTAGAGAGCCTCGGACTTCGGCTCAATATTATATGAGTCAATTTCAAGCGTATCAACATTGTTTGATTTCTAAAATCCTCGGCGTAACTCAAATGTGCCGCGAAAAGGGCCGCTATTCCTTTACATCCTTTTAAGTCAAAAGAAGCGACAGCCGACGAAGAGCCCAGATGTTCTTTCCTATGTTGAAGGTCATCTACAAGAAAACACTTGTTTCAATTTGGAGTTTCCCAGGAATCATTTCATGCTTGAACACTCAATTCGTCGATCCTCTGACGTAAGGGCTTATCTTAATTTTCACGTGAGCCCTATTTTTTATATATATCTATGCTTTCCAAGGCTCATATTACGTCCTTTCCTTACGTCAGAGGGGCGACTAATCACGCCGGTCTGTTCGAATTGAAAAAATTGCCAGTGGCAACGCACCATGAACAGGGCAGGGCACATCTCACCTCGGGCTACTCGGGCTCTGGTACCACTTTTAAGATCGGGGTCGCATGACTGCCACCAACCCCCTCCCCCCGACCCCCTCGGTCCCCTTACCGCCAGAATAGTAATTTGTAATATCTTAATCTTAAGAGCGCACAGTTGCAAAAATATCATTCTCTACTAAAAATCTTAAAAATAAATGGAAACCTGCAAAGCAGTAAAAATAATTCTACTGTGCCCCAGAGTGTTTTAGAAAATGTATTCATCTTTTACAAAATTGTTTCACTTTTCCTTACGAGACAACGGTTAGGTTACATGTGAATTTGAAATACTGTGTCATCGGCGGCACGGCCCCCGGCACAATGGACCCAGTATCCCCACCCTTGTGGCGGGCCTGGGGGAGGGGGCAGAGGCGACTTTGCAAGTTAAAAATATCAATTTTAGGTGAGGCAAGTTATCTCTCCAAGAATCGATTGTTTTACACACGTCTAAATGGAGGGAAATAGTGTACAGAACAGGAAAAAAAGAACTTTCCGTCGGTGGGCTGGAGGGGCACCTCATCCTGGTGGTCTAGGGGCACAAGAAGACACCCCACTGAGGGGGTTCTGCGGAACTTACCGAGCTCAAGGGAAAGCTCGGGGGACTTCTCTAGCCTTAACAGAAGGTTCGGAAGGCCTCCTCCAGAAAATCGACGGTGTAAGTCGGCAATCACATAACTTGTTTGCGGTGTCTGAAAATCTCCGCCTATATATCATTATTTTAAAGGAGAAAAAAATTGACATTACTTCTTGAAGTTTTGGCAGAATTTTCTTCGCATAGAGAAGAAAAATCATGACAGTTTTAAAGAATTGCCGTTGAGTAGTTTTCCGTTTAAAAAATGAAGTATGACAGAAAATCTGCGACGTCGCAAACCGAGTTATGTGATTGCCGACTTACACCGTCGAAATTTTTATTAAACATTGAGTTGTCTTGGAGGCAATTTTTAGTTGTTCTCCGAAAACTTGATACACTCACCATAGGCGTACCTGGGTCATTTTGCTAGAGGGGAGGGTCTGGGGCTCTTGGGGGAATGGATTACCCTTCAGTCCAAAGAGGGGGTCCGAGGGGCCTCCTCCCGAAATTTTTTGGAATTTTAACCCTGTTTGGACGCATTTTAAGGCTTCCATGACGCAGATTTACCATTAATTTCTGCCGAAAAGTAACGTTTATTTTTTCACTTTCAGCAAAGAATACACTTAAATTGTTGCATTGAATGGATCCGGAAGATTTTTGAAATTTTAACTGTATTTGGCCCCATTTTGAGGCCTCCATGATGAACATTTTAGAAAATACTGATTGAGTGAACACGGTGTTTTCAATTTGGACTCTATATCAAGAGCGATAATCGTTCTCGACGAAGGCCTTTTCCCACCATCCAGAATTTCTTGGAGGGGCCAGATAATACTCTTTTCAATCCGGGGGGAGGGGGGTCCCCACCCCCCGAGCTAAGTAAATAATTCTCCCCAACCCTCTTTTTGGACCCGGGGGGACTGGAGGATTCCCTCAGACCCCTCTCGGTGGGGTATCTTTTAGTGCCCCTCCCCCTGAATCCCCTTGAAGAGATGCCCTTCTACCCCCCCCCCTCCACAAAAAATTCCTAATTCCACCCATGTGAACAAGGTTGCATTAGATTTGAGCCTTCAGATTGTAAAATCTGCATTTGATATCTGTTTTATGTCGCTCAGAAACCGAGTCGTCCGTAAAATACGTAGCTCTAAATTTAAGATTTTTCGACACCTTCTCCCTCTCTCCTCGTAGGTAACGCTTATGTAACGTAAGTCCCCATTCTGTGTCACATAAAGAAAAAATGGTGCGACACTTACCTCTATTCTCCCTCTTCTCCTCGAGCAATACGTGTTTTGTGAGCGGCCACACAGAACTAAAAGTGGGGTGACATAAATTGTGAATTCGAAGTGTTCCCGATTTCCCCCTAAAATATTTATTTTCTTGGTAGGAAAAAAAAATAGATAATCTCCAAGAAGTCATTCCAATTCCACAATTGCGATTGCTAAAAGAGAACAAAAAAAATTTCTCCATTCAGCAAATGCGAAGTCTTTTTATAATTAATGCTCAGGCCACTCCCGTTTCACTCAAAAAGCCGACCAAATAATGAGTTCCGAATTCTGTCCTCCTCAGAAGTCAAATTCTAGAGAATATGTCTCCTTTTCTCTTCTAAAACAGAAGGACCCCCTTGAACTTCGAAATTTATTGCTGCAAGTGTGCAGTATGCTGGTTCCAACTGATCAGAGAATGCGCTTAAAACTGCACCAAAATTTATCATGGAGAAAAAAAAGGAGGGGTTTGCATCTTGAGGTTTGGTTACCCTGTGACGTAGGTCGGTACAAACTAGCCGGCGAAATCCGGATTTCGGAGTATGAAAAACGGACCATTATATCCGATTTTTTGGCTTAAATCAACTCATGATATAATTTCAAGCACTTTTAACAGTATGACTTTTTTCCATAAATTACACCATTTCCAAGAAAATCGATGATAAAACTCGTCGTACCGACCTATACGTCATCAAAAAAAGTCCAAGATGCCCGACATGGAAACACCTCCTCTTTTTCTCTCCATAAAAATTTATTTTGCGGCATAAGAATTCGATTGCCTTTGTAATGGATGTTGTCAAACGATTAGAATATTCAGGGTTAGTTATTGCGCCGGTGTGCACGTGGGTGGTTTCACGATAACTGGAATAGTTTTGTCGCCGTAACAGACAACACATTTTTCGGTCATATTTTTAGTAGTAATGATAATCACGCGAATTTTTTTGCAATAATCTACACAAGGTTACGTTTCATAACGCTTTTCAAAGATTTATCGCTCTACTTCTCAATTTTAATATATAAAGGGCCGAAAATGTGCTGTCTGTTACGCGGTAAAAAGTCAGCGCAACAGACAGCACATTTTTGGCCATTTATATATTAAAATTGAAAAGTAGAGGGATAAATCTTTGAAAAACGTTTAAACACGTAACTCTGTGTAGATTAATGCAAAAAAATTTGAGTGATTATCATTACTACTAAAAATATGACCGAAAAATGTGTTGTCTGTTACCGCGACAAAACTATTCCAGTTATCGTGAAACCACCCACGTGTGCCGGTGCGTCAATTTAAAAACCTCTCTCTTTAGCGCCGATTGCAACGATTGGTCAATAATTTTGAACCGCGAAAAATAATGCTGTTTCCGAAAACATCCGCATCGTTCTTCTTCGAATTTTGCGCTAGTGTCTCTAGCACGTGGAACCTCATGGAAAGAGCTTTTCCCGCCTCATTCCAAGGTCCTGCCCGAAATGTAAACATGTGTTCTGCATTCGCCCGTGATTTTGCGCCTTTTCCAGCAAAAGTTTAGAATTGCGATCTCCTCTATCACCTGCAGTATCGTGAAGTATTCGTAGTTACTGGTGCCAGTCAAAACTTTGTGAATTGTTTCTCGGGCTGTCATCAAATGTGTTGTGGTTGTAGCTGAGAAAATTTCAGACCTCTCGTTCGTGATATTCCTCTCTGTTAATAATGTGGTGAGTGAAATCATTCATAACACTTACACTTACATTCTTGTGTGAATTTTCTCCTCTGGCTACGTGTCTTGAATTCTTTCCGAGTTGCTGGGTTCCGATTTCAAAGCCTGACATTATGTTGTCAGGCCATAAATTGTTCAAGCCACTGCATTTTGAATCATACGCAGAGGCGGGACTGTAGGCGATGAGTTGAATTTTGTGTTTGTCGACGGGACAAGACAAGGCCTATGAGTATTGGAGTTATGCGATTAGTTGGCTGTGCCAGTCTTCCTTTTCGTGCAGCCTATGTTGGGTGGAACTGACTTCGAGCCGGAGTCTCCTTTTGGGTTGTAGATACTTGGTCACCAAATCCACCTGACGCAGGGCCACAAATCAGGCCCCTGATCCTGAAAAGACCAATGTCCTATGAAACCGTGAGATTAGTCATTTGCCAGAAGAGTTTTCCTCCTTTCCTGCATTGGATCAGACAATCGGTTAAATAACGGCACCTCCTCAGTGACCTGGTTGATTGCCCAGCTGAATGAAGATGTAACAAAGAGCCAGAAGTCGCAGTGCTTGAAAGAGGAAAGCAACGAATATCATAACACCATCAGTCCTTAGTCTTGTCTTGTCCTGCAGCATGATTGTTGGAATTTTTGTGTTTGCCGACTGGTTAAGATAAGATCAAGGAGAATGGAGTCATTGGTTGGAGCCCTGACAAGTTGCGCGTCTCATGTTGACGAAAAAGGTGTATTCAACAAGAATCTATAGGCAACTCTTGTGTTGCTGACGTTTTATTCAGCCTTTCAAATTCTATCCTACTCAGATTTATTCTTTATTGGCATGACGCAGAGCACCACACTGTGACATATCGACGGTGAAAGTCGGCAATCACATAACTCGGTTTGCGACGTCGCAGACTTCCTGTCATACTTTATTTTTTAAATGGAAAACTACTCAACGGCAATTCTTTAAAACTGTCATGATTTTTCTTCTCAATGCGAAGAAAATTCTGCAAAAACTTCAAGAAATAATATCAATTTGTTCTCCTTTAAAAAATGATGTAGAGGCGGAGATTTTCAGACACCGCAAACGAGTTATGTGATTGCCGACTTTCACCGTCGATATGTGACTAATCACATGGCCCCCTTCTCCTTAATCTTGTCTTAACCGGTTGTCAAACACAAAATTTTCACAACCAGGCTGCTGCAGCTGAGGTACTTAAAAGTTTAACCATCTCCCTGCTGAAACTATGAGGCAGCATGATCTAGCCTCCTCTTTATGAAAGTGTTTACCTTGGCTCATTATTGCCGTAATCGATAAACTCTACTTCTAAATAGGCCCTTATCATTGATGATGGGGTTTAATAACACTTCCAGCTCCTGACTTTGAGTGGCTCAGATAATATTCTAAGGAGTGCTGTGAGAGGAACAGGTGTCATCCCTCAGAGTATCGCCAAAAGTTAGGCCCCTTTAATTTTCAACTTTCAGTGACATGATTTTGCCCTGAAGTTTTTCTCATCTTCTTTACCAAATAAGGGGCTTGGAGGAAAGGCACACAAGTGCAGTTTTTGAAAAATTGAGATAATACTTATTTCAAGTAAAACCCGTCTGAATGCATTTTCTGTGAAAAATTGGCTCCCAAATTCTAATTTTTAAGTATCAAAAAGCCAGTTTGAACTTTCTTTTAGCCATGAGGATCCATGTAATTTCAAAACTTCAAACTCGTATTTCTGGAAATAGCAAAAATTGCACTATGCGCCTTGTCCTCCAAGCTCCTCAAATGGTCTTTAGTCAAGAGAGGTAGAGGTCACGGCAGGAAAGGATCAAACTATGATGCCTAGGTATCTGCTGCAGACTTAAAGAACCTCTTTTCAAGTTCGTCGAGTTCCTTGCTAATAGTAACCTCGGTAATCAGACTTTCAAAAGACAGAAATCTTTGCTTAGTGGCTGCTGAAAAGTTCTACTGCCACCTCATGCGGATCTTCAAGAGGCATCATATTGCATATTTTTCATACCAAAATTTGAACCTCAGAGGAAACAAGGGAACATAAATTTCAGTTGAGCTGATTCTTGTCTAATCTGTGGAATTTGTGTTGAAGTATAAGTTGCCATCAAGGAGGACTTGAATGTAGTGATCATAGCAATCACTTTAGGTAATTTGGTTTTCCTTCATGTATCCATTCATCACAATCTAGGCCCTAGTTCAATACTAAGCAGATCAGGTAGTTAATATAAAATCATCTTCAGGGCGCAGCTCATCTTTTTTCATGTCCCAAGAATTTCTTTACCAGAAACAACATCACGCGTTCAAACATGCAACTTGTCGATGAATTTCTCAGCTTGCGTCATTCTGAAGCCTCTCCTTTTAGAGTTAGTTTGCAGTATGCACAGTAGACGAAGTGTGAGCCGATACATTCCTCTTTGAATTTGATTAATCTCTCTTCTAATTTCCCTAAAATTGTGATTTTTCTAACATTTAAGAATTTTTTTATGGAAATCAGGGAATTTTCTGGGAGTTACTCTTTCTGAATTCTGCAGTTACCCTGAATTTTCGCGTTTAGGTACTTGCACACTTTGAGCTTTATCTTAGGACTTACAAAACAGACATTTAGGAAGAAGCAGCTTAATTGCACCTCTAAGCTCATTTGATCCGTTTGTTGTCTAAAATTCAAAGTGGTACCAGTAATTTAGCAATGATTATTGTTAGTTTCAGGTGCAGATTCACTTTTGAGAAATACATTGCATTTTGTTTAAACGATAGAAGTACTTCATAACCCTGTTTCAAGTGCCTAAGTCTTCCTGTTTCACTTGTTTGTGCACTTATGCAACTGCTATATATTGCTGTCTTCATCATCGTTGAGGAGAAGACAACAGCTAAAAGAATTAAAGAGCACCAATTCGTAACCGCATGCGAAATGCCGTCGATGATAAGCCCCTAGATGCAATTATTCGTGTTCTTAGGATGTCCGTGTTGCCTACCAAATAAATTGAAGGCGTTCAGCCTTCGCAACGCACGAGATAGACGCACACCGTGCGGCGCGGCGCCCAGGTCCAAGTTAGACGGCAACAAGACAGGATTACTACTCAATAAAAAACAATTTTAAAAGCGGGTGACAAGGCTATAAAACTCGACGAATAAAACCAAAACGTTTCGGCTGAAAACTCATACAGTTGGATGCGTAAAAAGTAAAAATGGTAAACATCTAAAATAGTACCTGGCTGTACCTTTCAAAGCGAGAATGTTGCTCTGACTAAACATAACAACATTCTCGCTTTTAAAGGTACAGCCAGGTACTATTTTAAATTTTTACCATTTTCTTTTTACGCAACTGAGGGAGGCTGAGTTTTCAGCCGCAACGTTTTGGTTTTACTTATTTGTGGAGTTTTAGTCTTGTTACCCGCTTTTTAAATTGTTTTTTTATTGCGTACCTTGGCACGGGCTGCGGAGCGTCTATCATATACTACTGAGTTTGTTATCAATTTTCTCTTTTTCTCAGATCCCGGCCACCACCATGTAGGGCTCAGGTTTTTTATCGTTTTTTCTTTTAAATTTTTATTGTTTCCGACTGAAAATGACTCAGTTTTGAGTCGAAACGTTTCGGGTTTTATTAATTGTGTATTTTTAGCCTTGTCACCCGTTTTTCCTCCTTGTTTTTTCCACTATTACTACTCACCGGCCCCGTTTTGCATGACGCTTGAGTTTTTTCTTTCTAAGTTTTTCACAATTTTAATTGACATTATAATTTGACATTTATTAGTTTGGTAACCATTCTTATACGAATCGGCGTTCAGCGAGGGTGGCTAATTGTAAGTTTCATGAAAAGTAAAATCGTGAAATCCTTCATGAAATTTCAGATATAAATGAAAGATTGACCTTAAATCGTGGATTATCAGCTTACGCGATAAATAATCATCAAAACGCTGCCGCAATTATTGAATGGCCTTGTTTTACTCGTTGTCACCTCTCAAATATCCCATGCAATAGCAAGAAAGTACAATTCCAGAGTCAGATGAAAGATTTAAAGATTGTGTGTGTCGTTTGATTTTTTTTAGCGGGGGTTGCATATTCCGCCCCTGAAATGAGTGTTTCTTATTTTCCAAAAATTGCACAGCCTTGTATTTCATGAAATATTTCACGGAAAGAAAGCTTTTTTAAGTTTCTTTCGTTTCATACCACCTTGCACGTAGCTCCTGATGGTAACATGCACTTGAATCTGAATTCATCTGTTACCTACTTGAGCCGTCTCCAAGGTGCAGACGAGGTGCTAGTCGCCTCCATGAGTCAAGGCAGCAATAGAGCTTTCAATGCTTTCACCGTCTTTTTCTGCTACATGGTCCGGGAATTAGATAATGGAAAATAGCTCTTGCTGAAGAAAAACGTACTTAACTGCTGCACCCCGGGCACTCAGCCTCTGTTTCTGGGTCGTTGAGTTTGAGTTAGTTCTCCCGTCGCTTTTTCCTGAAGAAGAGTTGTCGTTTCTCAAGCTTTTTTTCTAGCATTTGCAGGCGCATGGTTTTTTAAATAGATTCTTCAGACATATTTTTAGGGAGTCCTTCATGGGGCCATTTTCAAAAGGTTTTTCTGGGGAAGAATTTCAGGCATGAGACCCTCTTATGAAGTTATCTGATTGTGAGCAGATCGTTGATGACCTCATTCGCCTAGTCTGCCGTGCTAAGGAAGAACGCCGTATGAGCCTTTAGTGTTGCCAAATTTCCTTCGGTAAATCACGAATTTTCGGGAAAATTTGTAATTCTTTTTCTTCCAATTTTTCAGATAATTTCTTTCGCAATTTTACCTGCAGTTCTTGAAAATTTATCGGAAAAATATTCATAACTTTCCTCAAAAAGAAACATTTTGTCGAAGGAAATTTGGCAACTCGTGTTGGCAAACTCGAATGTTCATGCGGCGTTTTTCCTTCGCACGGCAGTACTTAGTGCTCCATATGAATCACTAAATACAAAAAGGGCACATGTCCTGAAAACCAAATTTTTTAGGAGACACAAAAAACGGTTTATTTCGTGGTAGATATTTTTTGGAAAGTCGTTATGTTTAAAAAATATCTACCACGAAATAAACAGTTTTTTGTGTCTCCTGGACAATTTGGTTTTCTGGACATGTGCCCTTTTTGTATTTAGTGATTCATATATTCTCTTCTTCTCTCCCTATACCACATCAGAAAATCAAGAGCATTGTCTCGAAATTTGATAGCCTGCTTTAAACCTCCTAGAATCAGCAGGGGTGCAGGAAATGCCCGATCATGCGCCCGGGCGGGCGCGTGAAAATGAAGAAAAGCCCCAAAAATGTGGAAGGATGGAAAATTTTGAGGGGCCGTAAGTCGAAAATCAAAGGAAAACAGAAGAAAAACGTCATCTTTTTTAAGGATGGTGGGGAATTTTGTGGAAAACTGATGAGAAAATTGAGGAAAGCCGACTTGCAGGCGCGTGTGAATTTGGAAGCTTGGAAGATTCTGCACCCCTGCCTTGGAGTGAAAGCATATGAAGGGGCAGGCATTTGTATATGCAAAAAAACATCGTAAAAAAGTAACTGCTGCTCTTCGGTCAACCGCTAGCGAGGCAAGATTTTTTGTCTCTTTATTACAACCAGAGGCATCGTCTCCAAATACATAGCGCGTTTTGAACTTTCTTGGACTCAAAGCAAAGGAATTTATACATGCAAAAAAATACAAGGAGAATTCAACCTAAACTTATCGGGTCGCGCCGTCACTCCGCCGTGTAACCCAAGTACGAGGGGGCAACGGGGCATACATGATTTTCTTTCTTTTTTCAACCAGTCGTACCGTCCCTTATGTTAATAGTGCATTTCGAATTCTCTTCACGGGAAAAAGTTACTGTTAATAATGTCCCAGTCAGATTTCTACCCGAAAAAACAGGAATTCATGTTGTTCCGATCGGATTCTCGTATGTACGACAATCAAAATCCCATTCGGACAACAGGAACTCCTGTCGTTTCTAAATAGAAATCCGATGAGGAAAGGATTATCAGGACATTTCTTTGGAAAAATTGCGATCGGGAAATTATTTTCCGGGTTAGAGTGAAAGCAGAGGAATTTATGAATGCACCAAAAAAAAAAAAAAAATTGTTGGTGAAAATCAACCAACACTTCCCTGGTTAAGATACTGCCCCGCGGTTTCCTTTCCTTCGATCGATCCTTTGATCGATCAGTTCCATCGTATCTGAAGTTCATAGCGCGTTTTGAACTTTCTCAAAGTGAAAGCAGAGACATCCATGGGTGCACAAAACATCGTGAAACCGGGGTGCAAATTGCCCCAGGCCTCCGCAAATTGTTGCAACGCGCCATATTTTAGCGTAAAAGGCAGCACGAAGCGCTGATCAATATTTTGTCAAATTTTATTTGTATATTTTTTTATGCGTTGAACAGGGTGTGGAGCATCAGGATTTTTCCGATTTTCCCGATTCTATCAGGATTTGAGATCAATCAAAATTTAATGCCGATTTCATCAGAATTTGAGGGAAAATCGGTCGTAAAATCAGGATTTGTGAAAAGTCGGCCGTCTGATCGGATTTTTTTATCGAGCTATTTTTTGTCAAGTTACATTCGCCTTTCGTGAATTTTTTCTCCGCATAAAATCAGGATTTGGAAAAATTATAATATCAGGATTTAACAGTTAAAATTCAGGAAAAATCAGGATTTCCCGTAATGAGGGGAGAAAAACAATTTTTAGGGCATTTCTTCATTCGGTCGCAATCGCGCGGTTGTAGGTACGTGATAATCAACCAAAACTTTCCGGGCCAAGATGCTGTCCCGCGTATAATCGTAAGGGGGCGTATATTCTTTCTTTTCCCGACCAGTCGCAACCAATTTTAAGGCAAAGTGTTCGATTTTTCGGAACATGTCTGTTTTGCCCCACTTCTTCTGAGGAATATGCAAAGAAGAAAGTGGATCATTTTTTTTTACGAGGGGCGTTCAATAAGTAAGTATCCCCCCTCTCTAAAATCAATAGAAATGGACCACTTTTCAAAAACTTGGGCTCAAAATCTTCCTTAGGATATACTGAGTTCAACAAAACAAACCGCAACAAAATCGGACCATGTGCGGCCGAACGCGAGCCGTTTAAACGCGCCGAGGTGCACACCGCTCCCGCCAAATCCGCGGAAATTTGAAGTCCGCGACAAGAGAAGAGCTTCTCTGCCAACGCTTCAGGCGTTCATCACTGACGAAAAATCAAAGAAGTTTTTGTAGAATAAAGGGCTTACCTCACCTCTCCACATAACCAGCTCGATCCAAGCAAGTCTGATACTGATTGTGAGACTAAGAGAACAGCTTTTGGATACCACGCGTGTAGAGGTCTTTCAACTGGCTGGGGATGAAAGTGTTGACGGCTTGTTTGACCTCTTCCGCTGATTCAAAATGAACTCCCCCCAGTTCAGATTTCAGAAAAATGAATAAATAGTGTTTTTTTTGCCATTTATTATGGTATTTTTCGTCAGTGATGAGCGACTGCAGCGTTGGCAGAGAGGCTCTTCTCTTGTCGCGGACTTCAAATTTTCGCGGATTTGGCGGGAGCAGTGTGCACCTCGGCGCGTTCAAACGGCTCGCGTTCGGCCGCACATGGTCCGATTTTGTTGCAGTTTGTTTTGTTGAACTCAGTATATCCTAAGGAAGATTTTGAGCCCAAGTTTTTGAAAATTGGTACATTTTTATTGATTTTAGAGAGGGGGGATACTTACTTATTGAACGCCCGTCGTAATGTCGCACGGCCCTAGATTCTCGTCCCATTTGACCATTTGAGGACTCGACGTCGACATAGACAGTTAATATTTTATTTTTTGAACATTCTCGTGGTACTGACTGTAATTTTGCATGACGTTGTCATATTTTTTGATTTCTCAAGATTTAGTGCCTGTTACGGTAAGAGGCTTTCGAATGTCGATGACCGATCAATGATTAAAATTTTCCTTTTTCTGGACGAATGGATGCTCATTGCTCCCATTTTCGCAGCTTTTTTTGTTCAGATTTCTTCTCACAAATTTAGACCTCTAATCTATTTAGTTCCCCGTTATTTCCAAAAATATGTCTTGTCTTTACCGATCTCTCGACTTGTCAATGTTTAATTTATCTTTTGTGTTCTTTTTTCCACTCAAGATGCAAGAGATTTCAACTCCATGGATTCTGGATTTCATGGGCTCCTACAGTTGCCCTCGACAGATGATCAAGAGCTGTGACCCTTCAGAGTCTTCCAAAAGAATTTGCACTTTTACTCATCAAACTCTGAAAGTTAGTTTACAATTTCTTAACCAAAGTTGCCATCTCAAAGTCAAAAGTCTGTCCATTCCAAGCAAAAATTAGGTCCCTTTAGGAAGCGGAATATTGCCTCCTCTTCGACTTGGTCGTGAAATTGACGATTAGGCTCAGTCTGGGGATAAAGTGGGGCCCCAGGTTATAGATCCCAAAAAATCCCAATTTTCTGGTCTTGAAGGCCCCCTGACCTTCCTTGGAGTGGAGTCTTGTCCCTGAAAATGGGCAATTTGTGACGATGTCATGAAACTAAACTAACTACTCTGAATTTCAGCAATGCACACTAAGCAGTTCGAATCACCCTGTCCCATGAGTTTTTGCAACCCTTCAAAGAAAGGGGACGCCCCTCTCCATAACTCGCATTGGCCGATTCAGCAAATTGGCATCATTGCATTTTCTCCAATTAAACCTACTGAAATGTTTCAACTCTCGGAAGGGCTAAGTGCTTCGGCAAGAATCGATTATTCAACACAGGTTTAATATAGGAAAGCCAAATGCTGGATCCACCTCTTATAACTCGTTATTTTACCATATGCTTGTAAAATTGACTCAAGACCTCTGGTTAAAGGTGGTAGCCTCGGTATTGGACTTTATGGGATCCAAATGCTTATGGTCTCAGAGCATCTTGACCTCCCTCGGAAAGTGGGAGGGGGAGAGAGAGATTTCATGACCCTGAAAATCAAGAGTTCCCACAAAAATATTGCCAGAACCATGGTGACAGGATGAAGATTTGGAAGTAGCAGTGGGTACTTGGGTAGGAAGGGCGAAGGGAGGGGCATCAAGCAATGAAATTTAAATTTCCCAGGGTTGATATCTATTAATATTATATTTTTACTGAGATTCTATGTCTTTCTAGCCACAAAACGTTTGTGGAGGAATGTCTTGCCCCAGCTTCAAGGGGGAGGAGGACATTAAGATAAGCATAGCCTATTATAAGGTTTCATTTTTTAATTTTTTCAATGAATATCCTTACCTTAAATTTTGATCACATGTATTCTAAAGTAGAACAAAGAGCCTGACGCTCAAGGCTATGAATTCTCTCCCCTTCCCCCCTGCCCTAACTGATTGACTATGGCCAGTGATGGCTTTGGAACTTCAAGAGTTAGATTCCACAGAGTCCATTATCTAGAATAACACTTTTATACACACTTCTTATGGGAGAAACCAATTTATGTCTTGCTGGCTGTGACCGAGTAAGGGTAGGGCAGGGAAGTTGATCCTAGTAGGATGCACAGTACTGCACAAGGACTGGCCTTTGGGATTGATCTCGGAATATCCTTTAATTTTTTATTATTACCTAGTGAAATGTCTTTAAATAAACTTAAAAACTGGCTCTCCACTAATGTGACTACGTTTTCTCCTTAAAGATGGGGCAGTCCCCTCTCCCATTGCATTAGAAATATGACCCCTCTCTAAGGCAGTTTTGTTCAATCCAATGTATCTTTGAAATTTTTCCGCCGCCCCCCTCCCCCTTATCCACAAGATTCAACTAGCTTCTATTAATTGCTTTGTATTTAAGTCATTCTGTCCTTGGCGAGACTGACTTATTTTCTCTAAACGTGGCAATATATCAGCATTTCAACCCTTAAAAATACCCCAAGCCACTCACTAACTCAGCCTTCTCCCTTCCTCAGCTGCCACTTTTTATATCGCAGACCATGAACAGTATTTAATTTCTTGAATCTAGGTAATGATTTTCTGAAATAAAAGATGACATCCTAATAGGTCATCTACAAATACGACACCACAGGGCTTGTCAGCTATCATTTATTTATATTTTCTATTTTTGTCCCAGGACTTTAATTGACCAGCAAATATGGAATATCAAGATTCTGACATTGGTTTACCAGCAATGGAGTGCGCAGTTTCTGATGTCTGTTTCCCAGCAATGGGGTATGAAGATTTGGATGCTTGTTTGCCTGCTGTTTGGCTCGTCTTCGGAGGGTCTTATTTGAATCACTCCAATGCCCCGCGAACAACGCCAGAAGCTTATGAAGACAATTTTGAAACCCCATCCAGCAAGGAACCTCCAGATCATCGTGAGAAAATTTTGGTAGATTTATTAAGTTTTCATTTAGAAACTGAATTTGTTAGGTTTTCTGAGTCATTCATTGAGTCAACTCAGTTACAATCTGTACTGAATTTGCTAAAATTATGGTCTGAAGATCTTACCTTTATATATGAAATTCGAGAACAACTGTCAATAAATAATAATGATTATGATTTAAAAGAAAAAATATTAGTGCAGCGAATTTTATCAAGAATTAAAACTTTCGATTTTTGTACTATTATTCCAAATGGACTAATTTCAGCTGAGCACTTAGATGGTCATGAAAATGTTAATCTAGCTATTTTGCAGAAAAAAGGTTGTTGCATTGATTGGATTCAAGTCAATCCTGGCGGTCAGTATCACCAAAGTTGTCATGATCTGATCGATGTGAGAAGTAATGCTTTCTTAAAGATCTCAGACGTTGATATCAATAACATCACTGAGGAATGGGTACACTTATTATTAACTTTAAAGAGCATTCGCCCACGTAGCAGCTACCAAGAACTTATGTTGTATGAATGGCTGCTGCCCCATTTAAATGGCAAGACCGTTTTTCAGTCAGAGCCAGATGATGGTTTTGTTACTCATTCCCATTCATCACCAAGCCAGATTTGGCAAGTTGTCGATCAGTCATTCCGGTATTTACTATGGTACTTTATTGGTGATGTTTACCAACCAATTTACCAAGAAGTAATAACAAGCTTCAAAATTTTCTTGATGGAAAAAGTACTAACTGCTTTCCAAGACCAGACTAGCAAAAACATTGAACAGTGTCATTTCCTTTTGCAAGAAATGTGTCCGAGAATTGCACAGCAGGCTCTCGAATTCGGGAATGAGAAACAAAAAGAGTATGCTTTTCACCTTATTCAAGCTGTAAAAGCAGCAATTGATTATCGCTGCAGTCAACAGCAACAGGAACTTGCCTCTGAATATAAAGTTGGTCGTTCTCTCAATTTTCCTGCAATAGTCACCTTTCCTTCTCTTCGCTTACCCGAGCTCCCTTCCTCCTCTCGTATTTCTCTCGTAGACAGTGTGCAAGCTCACCCCAATTTTGTCAAACCAAAAACGGACGATGACATAATTGATTACCTCAGAAAGTTTCAAAGAAATTTTGTTGACCAATTGAAGTATGCTGAAGACTTTGACTCGACTGTACTATTGTGTTCCAGCATTGAATCATTCTTCATAGACTTCCTCGCTAACACTGATATTTTAGAAGCATCACGATTTGCATCCTTTTCCAAAAATGATGGTTATCTAGCATCATGTCTGAAATATCTTGCGGAGTTATACTATGTTTGTCAAGCTCGTTTAGTACACTGCTTTCTGAAAGATGTGACCTATGAACCACATTCATATACAAAAAATGTGATCATTCAATTTTTCATGTATGCAAGTGTTGCCGCATTGAACCTTCGCCATGCACGTATAGGGCCTCTTCTAGCAGAGTATAACTTTAGTACCGCTTGCAGTGATTCTCTAACATTACCAACTATAATTCCATATCTTGTGGTTGAAGATTCTCGATGGCTCAGCACACTATTTTCTGTTCAAAGCTTTTTCCACCGACGCCGTTGTTTCAAGAAAGGCACACTCTTCTCATGCAACAAATTCCGTAACATAAAACCTGATTGCTACATGTCTTTTTCTGCTGATGTTAAAAGTGAAGATATGGATCTTGAAGAGGAACTAGCCTATAATTTGCTCCAAACTGATACAAATTCTTTAAAACGTTTTAATGAAGCATACGAGAAGGACGATGATAAGTACAGGTACCAGGACTTGCCCCATAAGAAATGGATAGAGCTTACATACACTTGCTCTAAGGACTATTTACCAGATTTGTACATACTATTACCGATAGTAGCTCACAGTGCCAAAGTAGCCCTGACTGGGTTTAATTTTTTTACCGGAGATTCTAGTTCTTTTTCACCTGAATGGAATTCCAGGAGGTTTGGTAGCAGTCTCTTTGTCTACTTCAAAATAAATAAAAAAAATGTCAGTACCAAGGCTGACATAAGCAAGCTAACCAGTTATAGATATAAATCGAATGGATATTATGCAGACCCCTATCAACGTTTTATCAGTCATTATGAAAAACCCCGAGACGAAAATGCGAAGGAAATTTGTCTTCACTTGCATGAAAATGATTTCATAGCCAACTTATGTATTAAACCAGATACAATGGACTGCAATCGATTTTTACAGCTAGGGTTTTTGCAGAGTGAACCACATCTGAAGTTGGAACGTTTGTATATTGGACTCAAGGAAAATCAGCTCAATTTTAGTAGTATACAAGAAGGCGTCTTAATAAAGCAAACCCTATTTGAAATTAGCATTACCAAGAAAATTGATGAGAAACCCTGTTCTTGGCTGACATGGACCGCCTCCCACAAGCCAGAATTAATTCATTCATTGGGCTTGCTATTCATAGAAAAAGCACGGGTAATGGAATATCGCCTAACTCAGCATTATGCGTTGGGTGACATACTTATAGTGACTTTGGGGCTTCTAACTTTTTATCCATCCACGTACAAAAATGCCCTCATCGAAGGAATTCTTGATATATTCTACTTACTCAAAAAAATTTTAACAGAGCCTCCTGCACACTTAAGTGGAACTAGCTTACTTCATCTCAACGCATATTTAATCATCAGCGCACAAGCAAAACCGCAGTTATTAGAAACAGAGCTGGCTACTTTATTAAAAGCATTTCTGATGATCCAGAAATATAAAGTTAAAGGAGTCCATTTGGACAGCAGTTGGAGACTGCGCTTACATGCAGCAAGTTTTGAATGGCACTCGCAGGTTGCTCATCAATTACGAGAGAAACCGGATATTCTGAACGATATAATGTCAAGCGTCATTCCACAGTGGAATCAGGAAAGTCAGTGGCAAGAGACTGAGAGCAATTGGCTTTTCAGGTGTGGTGATTATACAATTAAACCGTTACATGGTTGCATTTACTTTCAAAATCAGCCACTCATGGGACTACCTAGCAGTATCACAGAGCACAAAATCTTCAGGGAATATTTGGGTGTAGTGAATTTCGCCGTTATTCCTGAAAAATGTCAAGTTAATTCCGAAACTGTGCCATGTTACTGTTCTGTTGATCATGAGCCCCGAACACGATTGACACTAGTTCGGAATATATTGTTCATAGAAGAATGGATCGAAGATGGCTTTCAACGTTATATACCTGCTGATGAAATATCCTGTCAAAATAAATACCCCCAAGCCCTTTATGAGTTACCAAATAAAGCAGGCAAATTAAGACATTGGTTGAAAAGCTCCACACTGATACTGATTAAAGATCAAAATAGGAAAGTTGTTTATGAATGGGACCTGCAAAAGAACACTGTGCTCTCTTTACTGCATGGTGGATTTGTTGTCCCTTGGAATCAAGTAGAAGTGTGTTTCTTTAAGACGTGGCTCGAACGAATCGAGTCTGCTGATTGGATAGAACTAATTGTTCAGCCATCCCTGAATGATGCGTTTGTCCTTACGGAATCTTTAAATCTACCTCGATTAGGTTTACATTTTGAGTTCAAGGAAGGTAAATTTTACTCCAAGCAAATACACGGCTACATCATCGCTGAATCACAACTCTTGAATACCTTGCCAGGTTTTTTAAATTATTTGGTTATAGAGAAAAAAGAACGCAGCTCAGCATGGTCTGTCAAAGTTATAATTCCACATCGCCTAATAAAACCAAAAGGTCCGTTTTATGACAAAAGTTTAACTATTGATACTGATTTGGCTCTACTACCGCCTTATTTCGTCTACGATTATGATTTTAAATTAGACATGCTGAAAGGCCACCGCATCCAAGCTCAACTCTATCTGGCCTTAATTTTTTATCGCTCAGCGTCTTTTGATAGTTATGACATATCCAATTGTAATACGTTTCACTTGGCAAGAGAAAACTTGGAACTTTGCTGGAAAGATCAACCTTATGATGAAATTGAATTGAGCATTATTGAACAGTTTCTGAAAGTTAAAGTTGAAGACATTCGAGGATTTCACAGTCATAGCCTAGCAATATATTTAAAAGTTGTTTCTTTGCTGATTAGCAGTCTACGCTTAGAGTTTTTGTACACTGATGAAAATGCTAAGTCAAATAAAGAAAGAAGTCGTCAGTTATTAACAAAGCTATCCAAAACGCTTCCTCGTTTGTTCTTAACTTATTTACAAAATAAGCCAACTATTTTTTCACGCATACAACTTAGTTTAGACGAGGAGCAAGATGTCATAAATCAATGCCTCCCTCAAACAAGCAATTCACTTAGCATTCAACAAGAATTCCCTGATGTCTTATGTTTATTAAAAGTCTACAATGAAGTGAATTTTGAACTACAGTCTAAAACGCTCCCACCTCTGCAGAAAACAAAACCTTTCAACTCGTTCTACGGACAGTTTTTCTCAAAAGACAATCTTCAAAGAACTAATTTTGAACATATTTATCAAAAGAATCTCGAATATTTCAAGTTCTCCTACGACACAGAGAAATATAATTGGACCAAAAATGTATCTTCTGACATAGATAACATACTAAGTGGTCGATTTCATGTAAAAGATTACATCACCCTGTATGATTTAGCTAAAAATTCTCTGCTAAGCCTTCCCAAGTACTGCTATTTGTTGCATTATGTAGTGATGACTCAAACAGAAGTCCCGAGTGAAATGAAAATGATGCTAGCTCGTTCTCTTCTTCTCGTTGCTGAACATCCAGCAAATTTCCCAGAGTCTCCTCGCTGGTTTCACACAAGTAATCTGTCTGTGAACTTGAAGCGACGGAAAGTACTTAAAGATGATGTGATTGGCTCTTTTCCCCTCTATCATAGGAAGAGAGCGTATGATGCAAATGAAATGGATATTGAGGAAGAAAAACAAAAAGAGGATAAATATAAAGCAGAAAATGAAAGGATTTGGCGCTACCTCAAGTGCTATGATTTAGATGAAGAACTAGTACCCAACTGTCTTCCTCAAAATACTGATGATTTCCAATTAAAATATGAACGTCACATGACTTTTGATTACCCTAGTAAGCAACAAACAGTAAGGCAAATCTACTTGAAATCAGCATACAATGATAGTATGTTCTATTTTTTCTATCATGTTCTGAATCTTTGTGATAATATTAAACATTCATCTCATATGGGTTGGCCTGTAGCTGAATTCATTTCGGAAACTATTAAGGTCCCTTTTGAGGCCAGAATAGAAAATTCTTTGACTTTTACCTCAGAACAAGTTAGTCTAGAAAATTTGGCTACTCTCCAGGAGCCTCTGGTCGATTTGAACCAATTTTTTGCTGTTGATTCGTCACAATGTGGAAGCAGTACCTTCCTGTTTGAATCACAACTAGAAGAACCCAAGAATGGCTATCAACACAAATTCTACAGTGAATTGAAAGACAGTTGGCTTGCATATCAAAATGAAAAACAGTTCTTTTACTCTTGGCTTAGCCCCCAGTCCATGAAGGAATTAGAAATGTTGCTTCAAACAAAACTCGGCGAAATCCGTAAACAAACAGAACAACTTTGGGATTTCATAGCAACGCAGTTCGAACAGAAATCAAACAGCGAGTCAAATGACTATTTTGCACTGCGATGGTACAGTGGGCGAGCAATTTACTATAATAAACGCGACATTTTGACTTTATTAATTGAGCCTCATAAGGTGGGATGGTACAATCCTGATTGTCTATCAAAAAAAGATCATCTAATCAAAGAGTTACTCAATTATTTAATTCACAAAATAAATTCGGCAAAAGTAATTAGAGTGCTCAACCTCATAGAACAATACAAAGAAACCGATAATGATGCAGAACAATTCTCAGTGATGCAGAGTTTGGTGAGGAGTCTACAAGAAGATATTGACCCAGCATCGTTTCAATATCCCCATTGGATTCTATTTCAATACGAAAATGAAATAATTGTCCGAAATAATCAGCAAGAACTAATTACTGCAATGTTAAATCAAAGAGAAAAAGCCATGTATCAACTTAATATGGGTGAGGGCAAGTCATCAGTTATTTTGCCTCTGCTGAGCTACAACCTAGCTAATGGCAATCACATTTTGCGCATCAATGTACTGTCTGCCCTATTAATTACGATGAAAGAATTTTTGCGACAACGTTTTTCAGGATTGATCCGGAAACATATTTATACGTTACCGTTTGATCGTCAGACAGAAATTCCATCAGAGCATATAGCTCTAATATCAGAAATGCTGAGAACATGCCAAAGCAACAAGCATATATTACTAGTGACCCCAGAACATCGCTTGTGCTTGCAGTTGAAAGAGAGAGAATTATTGCTTGAAAGTCAACAACAAATGGACGCCACAAACACCTTTAGCTGGAAGACCTACAGACAAAGAGCTGAGCTTAATAATGATTTTTACAAAGACTTGACTGAGTTAGAAGTTCAAGAGATGTTGTTGAGACAAGATGAGTGCCTTAAAGCTTGTTTGCAGCAAGATGGTTACATAGACTCTGAAGACTCAGATACTAATACAATTCTCCGTCCACCACCCCGAGGACAAGCTCGTATGGACTTTGCTCATTACAAAAAAGTTATTAGTGATACATCATTCAGAGAATGGAGTTGTTTAAGAGCTGCATATCGCGAATTATTGTACAATTCAACATTTGCTCATGCTAGCACCAGTGAAACCCTCACGCAACTCAGTGAATTGCATGCATTTGCATGTATAGATTTACTGGACGAATCCGACGAGATTCTAAAAAATAATACTGAATTGAATTATACGGTAGGGGACCGCTGTGCTTTCTCTGGAGGAGAGTTTCGTTGGGAAATCCCACAGTTTTTCATCAAAGCTATTTTTTGTGATGATGATGTAAGAGAAGTCATTGATGCTGGAAAAGTCCATGGTTTCACAGCAATTAATCCTGGATATAGCGAAGGAGGAGGCGTTCCTTTTATTCAGTTGCTCAGTGAATCCTATTTTGATAATAAAATTAAACCTCTACTCCTAGAAAAATTTTTCCACGAAAATCTACTTTCACTCAGGAAATATCAAACTAGTGCAGATAGTCATTCAGCTGAAGTGGGAATTAGCTCCCTGAGACAATACACAGCTGGACAACTTCCACTGAATGCAGAAAAGGATGTTGTAGCTTTTCTTGCTGATAAAGGTGCACTTAAAGATAAAATCCTAATCGCCAAAGGATGGCTGTCCCATGGTATTTTATTTCATGTATTCAATGCTAAGTATAGAGTTCAATTTGGTTTAAATTTAAACGCTGAGGGTGAAACAACCAAACTTATCGCAATTCCCTTTTTGGGAAAAGATACGCCTTCGCCTCGTTCGGAGTTCTCACATCCAGATGTTATGCTTGGATTCACAATAATTTGTTACTTGTACAAAGGTCTCACTCAGAAGGAACTCAAGGAAACTTTGCTCAGTCTAAAGAGTAATTTTAGTACCCCAGTTGGCGACATGCAGCTCGACACTTGGACTCAGGCTGGTGAAGCTTGGATTAGAACTCGGACAGACCATTTTCCACCATTGGTACTAACTTCGCTTCAGCATGTAGATCTGGCAGATGAGCTATGTTTGGCACAAATGCATCAATATTTATCTAGAAACTACCTTGCCATATTCTTTTACCTAAATCAGTTTGTCTTATTGGAAGAGGCCATGCAGTATCGCCACAAAATCAGTGCCAACGCCCATTCTCTTGTTGGCTACAATGCAGCATTGGGTTTTTCAGGCACTGACGACAGAAAGATAACTATGCCATTTCAAGTTAAATCTCTTTGCTCCACCTCTCAAGTAGGCACCAATGGTAAATTATTATCAGTTCTAACCCAAGATCGGAACAGTCATTATCACACCTTGAAAACTGACGACTCCAAAGCATTGTTGAGAGAACTGTGTCAATTTGTTACAGAAAATAGGCACTGCCATGCGTTGATTGATGCAGGAGCTTTAATTACAGGACTAACAAATAGCGATGTTGCCAATTTTTTACTCATTCACCTACCTGAAACGTTTGTCGGCATTTTATATTTTAGTGATGAAGGTAATAATTTAATTGTTGGCACCAGAGATGGAAAAACAGCTGCACTGCAGGATTGTTACTTGGACAAAAAGTTCTTGTTTGCTTATTTGGATGATATCCATACCCGAGGTACAGATATACAACTTCCTTTACATTGTCATGCCATTTTAACAATTGGCATGGGAATGTTGAAGGATAAACTGATGCAAGCCGCCATGCGGCTAAGGCAACTGGCTCAAAAACAGTGTGTTACATTATGGGGAACACAGGCAGTAAGCTTTGCTATTGCTCGAGATAATAACATCGATCCATCAAGAATTAATAGCCTTGAAGTAATCAAATGGGTAACAAAGAACACAATCGATCACATCAATGAGGATTTGTTCCATGTCGCAGTGAGGAAAATTAACTTCGAGTTTTTGAAAAGAGCCGAGGTTTGGTTGAAGGAGGCTCCTGCACACCTCAGTACTTTGGTACAATGTTGTCAAGATAAAGAATTGTTTCAGTTGGAAGAATTTTATGCTCTCTCCCCACAATCCGAAGATTTAGCTGACCGACTAGGCTGGCTAGTTGCTGGGCGTTTTAGATCATTTTGGCAGGAGATGGAGCTTGAGTTTCGTAACAAAAACTTGATTGATACACCATTTTATGAAAAAGTGTTTAATCGTTGTACAAAGAATGCATTTAAAGAACAGTTATTTGCTATTTGTGATGAAATGACAATTTATCTCCAACAGGGTCTAATACATCATTCGTTGGATGGTGATGAAGAGAAAGAGAATGAGGTAGAGATTGTACAGGAGCGGCAAGTTTTAATTAAAAGGGAATATCGATGCGCATATCAGGAGAAACGATGGGATGTGCAGTTAATTTTTAAGGAAAATTTTCTCAAAGAAGCTCTAGATCTAGCGATTATCATGCCTCTCAGTGCTGTCTCAAACTTTGTACAGTCTCCCTCCCGTATTGAAGACATTGTATGGCATAAAGACATCTACATGACAGTCAATTATATTCAAAGTGTCAAATGTGAGCAAAATGATACTATCGACAATTATTTGCGCCCTGTTGATGTAGTATTAATTCATCGGTCCTCAGATAAGAGTGAGGCCTTATTGTTGTCAGGTCGAGAAGCTTCTCGTATCAAGTCTAGATGTTGCAAAAATCTTGAAAATAACTTGTTAGTACATATCAATGACATAGATGGTCACACCCAATTGCCCACAGGGATTGTTGTGAATGAGCAAGAACAAAAGCTATTGACAATTGTAAAATTGTTTGCTGGTGAATGCCATTATGAATCATTGAGAGAAGTGCAACGCATCGCAGAGCTTGTCGGACGCATTCATCCATTGTTTTTCAGTAGTTTGAGCTTAAATGGTTCATATTCAGAAGAGCTCTACGAGATTCTAATTCAAGGAGGGTACATTGACTATGCAGGTGTTATGACCCAGAAACTGTTGAACATTCTGTGGTCTGTCAAAGCAGGTGATCTATTTTTTGAATTTCCAGAAGATCTTCAACTGAATGAAAAATTATCAAAAAAAGTACATGGAATGTTTAAAGAGTTGATTATTAAGTCAACTGATTCCTTACAAAAAGGTCATTATGTTCTTTGGCAGTGGGTAGGAGCACGCAACAGATTACGTGAATACCATGGATCAGCTCTAGAATCTGTAATTAACTCTGATTACCAAATTAAGTGTACACAATAAAGGTGCCTTAAAAAGAATTATTTTATGTCCTATAATTAATGAATTTTGATTCAAGTTTTACCCTTTACCTAAGTACCTTACCTCTTTGCTGTTTGTTTATTCTAAGTTTTGTAACTCCTTTTCTCAAAAAGTGAAGTGATCCACATCCTTTCTAAATTTTTTTCTGGTCACTGAAAAATATTAATTAGGGCTTGAGAAATCAGTATTGTGCTTTGTGAATTTTGAAATATAGTTTCATCCATTTGAATAATGAAGTAGTAAATAGAACTATTAAATGTTGATGAGTAATTTTCCACGTCAGTTCTTTTCTCAGCTAAAATTGTTTGAACATTACATGTAGACAACTTTTCTCTTCTGTCAGTTTATGCAAAAATTGATGACCGGAAATTAAAAATTGTGAGAACGCAAAAAGCTCTTGAGCTATCATACTCCAAGGTCATCGAGAAGTCCAGAACCTTGATTTTTAACTTCTTCCATCATAATTGTGTCTTCCGGTCAACGGTATTATAAGTGCATTGTTTTTCATTTTTTCTCTTCAAAAATGAAAGAAAATTTCAATCTTTTTCTCCTCCTATCCTCAAAATTTAATCGTGAATTTTAAAACAACATTGCTAACTAATTTCAATGAATGGGACATTTTGTAAGAGATTCAAAAAAATTTTGAGAATCTGGAATTGTCATATATATTATTGTTTTTTTAAGTTTTTTTTCTTATCACTGTCCTCCATTGTTTCCCTGTCTTAAAAATCAGGTATTCCGAATTTCGAAGGAAGGTTCTGAGTGACATAACTACTCAACGGACTTCCAAGTGCTTTATTCTCTCTGTTTTTAGGATTATTTATAGATTAAGTATGTATATTTATTCATTCAGTTTTTTGTTCCTATCGATTATTAGGTTTTTGTCCAAGTCTAAGTGACCTGATTATTCCACTGAGTGCCGAGTGATTTTTCTTCTCCGTTTTAGGATTATTAATTAAATTAATTAATAATGTATTTTCTTCTTCCCATCCTCTCAGCTTTTTCTTGACAAGACATTGCATATGTATTCGTTTAGTTTTTTTTTTCCTTTCAATTACATATAAAGTTTTTGTCAAAATTAAAACTGTGTTTTTTGTTGCTTTTTCTTTTGAAAATCAACTGAGTATCGCTCAGACATCACATAACCCACTATTTTATATATATCTTCTTTAAAACAAAACCAATCGCAAAGTTTTGTACTAACTCAATATTTTATTTGATTTCCTATCTACTAGAATCATTCTCAAAGAGAGCTTCATGCAATTTCCTATTTCAAGCCCACTGAGATTAATAACGCATCTATAACGTGCTTTTGTGCAGGCTGAAAACAACATTGACAACTTCTGAATTGAATAGTTGGTTCATGAAGTTCAAAAAAAAAGAAGAAGCTCAATATAACTTTGCAACCTTCTCTCCAAGAAAAACTACTTAGGGTTTATATTTCACTGAAAAAAAATGTGCCAAAATAATGAATGAGAGATTCCTCCTACACAAAGCTTTCAGTTAATAATTTTATTATTTTAAAATTTTCATACAGTTATTACAGAAATCGTTTCATATTGCCTATCAATAAGAAAGGACATCGAATTTACTCCTCACTGCAGAACATGTCAACCGTTGTGATGTAAATAACACTAATCTCATGGATTAATAACATTTCTATCTCCACCACTCTGCCGTGTTGAGCAAAAACCACAGAATCCCATTCCAGATTTTGTGAGTATTTTGGATAGAATGTTTCATTAAAAAAACCCAAGTTTAAACAGTGTTACTATTTTCAAGATACCATACAAACCCTACAGTAGGTAATTATCTTGAAAAATAAAATATGTAAATGCAAAAGTTGCCTCGTTAGGTTAATACATCCGAGAAAAATTCCCACAACCTGACTCGGAGAACTGTGATTTTTGCTTAACATGGCAACACTGTTAGAGACACATTGACAGAGCAACTAACTTTAGATAGCTAGAACTCACAGCTGACTTTAAAGTTAAATAGATCATGTTCACAGGTATGTTGAAAACTAAAATTCAAAAGAGAAGTTCACTCGAGAGTAAGTAAAATCTTCCATAAAAACCAAATTTTAACTGAGGCCCTCATTTTGTCTGATTGTGAGAGGTTTTGAAAATGTTTTAACAATCTGCATATTTTTCTAATGAACTGGTTCAGTAATGCTAATTCGGCTGGTGATGATCTAGTCATTCAATATAGACAGCTATGGAATTGGCAAAGCATCATGAACTTACGAAAGAGAGAGGAGGAATTGTGTGTAAAATTTACAGTCTTAACAATGTGTTCAAGGTAAAAAAATGCATACTCATTGGAAAAATATGTTGAACTCTGCTTTTTTGTCTTCATAATTTTCTCTCTTCTATCTACACAAATTTCTTATTCATTAGCAGATATGGAGCAAGAGGTAGCCTTACACAGCACACCGCTTAGCTTCCTGCCTACCTTCTGCTCCTAAAAAGATAGATTCTTTCCGTGGCATGTTTTGAGATATCGACGGTGCAAGTCGGCAATCACATAACTCGTTTGCGGTGTCTGAAAATCTCCGCAACTATGTTATTTTTTTTAAAGGAGAACAAATGGACATGATTCCTTGAAGTTTTTGCAGAATTTGCTTCTCACAGAGGAAGAAAAATCACGGAAGTTTTAAAGAATTACCGTTGAGTAGTTTTCCGTTTAAAAAATAAAGTATGACAGGAAGTCTGCAACGTCGCAAACCGAGTTATGTGATTGCCGACTTTCACCGTCAATATATTGATTTATCTGCCATTTAAACTTATGGAAAAGAATTGTTAAACAGCAAGTGTGCAACGAACACCTTGGTAATCAATTCTTTACCATAGCTTCAAATGGGGAAATATCGATTATTCACGCCTTGCCGCTGGATGCTTTGCACAAATAGGCCACAGTCTCATTTTAGAGCACATTACTGACATTGAGCATTCCACAAAATGCATCTGTCATGGACAAAGGTACAGCCAATCTGCTAGTAGAAAGTACAAATATGAAAACAACCTCCATGCTCACAGTTATTTTTGAAATCCCTCTCTAGCAAGTTAGAAATTTTTAAACTGGAAAAATAATCATGAGAGATTTGTACAAATATTTAACTAGATCATAAATATACTCTTTATATACATTTGTAAAACAGACAAAATAATCGACCTTAAGGTACCTAATTGAAGAATGTAAGTAGTTTAACCTTTCAATATTTACAATTTTTAATCTATGACCAGGTGAGGAAAAAGTTGCCATATAAAGGCCTCATTTACTCAGGTAACTTGCTTGAAACTCAGGCAGAACCAATTTGCCCAATTCAGTAAATACATTGCAACTTCATACATATATCTTTGGCTCAGTTAAGACTGCTACATGAAATCAGCTGGTCCTTAATTGAATTCTCAGGAGGGCCAGTTCCAAGCACGTTTAATGATGTAAATGAAGCCTTAAAGTACTGTTCCTGAGAGGAATGATTCAGGGATTGTATCTGTCTCTGTAATGAATTGCGGTAGTTACAGTAGTTTACAAGCATTAATTATTAACAGTTAACTTATTTAAACGTGCAATTCTTTTTTCTCTGTTTATTCAATAATCAATAAGTGTGCGTACAGATCTATCAATTCTTGAGCTTCAAAAACAAATGGAAAACACTTTTGTTTGGCATACTACCGACTTAAGTAATCTGTGGAGAGAAATTGTGAGTACTTCTTCAGATTTTATGATACAGAGGTTAAATTAAACATTATGAAATTAAGGAAGATAAGATTAGAATACAAGAGCTGACAGGCGAGGCTCTTCCACTTACAATGCATCAATTTCCAAAGAAATGGGTTAATAAATTATGATAGATATGGTTGAAACGCCAATTGTCAGCAAATTGTGGATTTGGTAACTTTCGTCCTAGAGTCTAACTGCAAGTGAAAAACTAAAAAGTGAAAAAAAAAAAGAAAATAAATTGAACTAATTTGATTCGCAGATGAGGTTTTATTGTATAATGATAATTTTTTAGAACTGCTGGAAACAAATTGGACCAGATGTTTCTCTTTGGACGGAACATTCACAGCTAATGAGATTGAGTTGAAATCATGCTTTTTAAATATGATAATCCTTTTAAAAATAAAGCCTTCTTAAAATTAAGTACACAAATGTTTAGAGCTAGCAGCCTATCTAAAAACTTACCTTACAATAATAATGAGCTTACATTGATACAACATGCATTCGGTTTTTAAAATTGATTAGTAAAGACAGATGTATTTCAATTTCATGAAGAAAACCAGCTCCAGCTGGCTGTACTGCCATACTCAGAAGAACGCCATATGAGCCTCCAGATGCTGCCTTTCGTTGGATAAAACAAAACTTTTTTATTAATATTTTCCCCCAAAATTTTCAGAGAATGTGCAATTTTATCTAAAGTACCTATCTGGAGGTTTCAAGGAAAAACATTCATAACTTTCCTCAGAGATACATTTTCATCAGGGAAAATTTGGCAACTTCTAAATGCTCATACAGCGTATTTCCTTTCGAAGGCAGTATAGTAATAGGACAGAAAGAAACACTCTACCTTCATGTTGTTTTGAGCACTAAATACCTTAACATTCAACCAAACTTGAACTCCACAATTTTCTTAGAGGTCATGTAAAATCTTCTCTTCAAATAAATCATACATTTTCGGAATGTTCGAGTCAATACCTTCAATTATTTCCAGGATTTAAGTACTTAGTTGGAAGATTTACGATACAGTTTATTTTTGAATATTCAGTTAGCAGTATTTAGTATGAATGTAATAAGAAAACCATTTAAATCATTAAAATCGGAAGATAATGAATCACCAGACAGGATGAGTTCAGTTCTACAAGACATGTCACTTGATTAAAATTTGATGAAGAATGCCCTGAGCTTCTAAAGTCGGCTCATAAGAGCAAAAAAGTTGTTCGTCAGCAGTTTAAATTAGGAATCAGTAGATTTAAATTTACCGCTTGCAAATCAAAATTAACAAAACTCAAAACTGAGATTGAAACCAATTTCTTTGAGAAATTAAAAATGTTTAACTCCGCCAAATTATACCTCTAGTATGACACATGCAAATCGTTGATTAGTCAGAGAATTTAGCAAACAAAGAAAATGTTTTGTTAGTAAAGCGTACTAGATTTATTTTTAAACCTGATTCAATAATAGTATCATTCATTTATTATTGAGTGGGGTTAGTTGGAATTAACAAACACATAAATGCCATATTCTCACTCATGATGTAATTTGGGAATATTTAATGTGTTCACCGCACTCTACAAAAAGTTTGGACATGGAGACATGTGCTACTGTGCTAAGACTAAGAGAGAACATCGTATGAACCTTGAGATGTTGCCAAATTTCGTTAAATAAAATGCGAATTTTCTGGAAAACTTATGAATATTTCTCTTCAAAATTTTCAGAGAATTTCATTTAGAATATCTGAAAATTTCAACGATAAATATTTATAAATCTCCCCAAAAAATCGTAGTTTTTCGGGAGAAATTCGGCAACATTCAAATGCTCATACGACGTTTTTCCTTAGCACAGCATCGTACTTGAGAGCTCACTTTCTTTCCCTGTCTGGCGATCCATTAGAAGAGCTCTTTTGAGTATTTGATCTAATTATAGCTAATGAGCACACGTTCATCAATGCACACAGAGACTGTACAGTTTAATGAGTAGATTTCTAATAACTTATATTTACAAAAGAGTTGGTACCTAAATAAACTTAAACTTAAGAGGGTACAAAAAAGGTACCTTAAATATTAGCTAGGTAGATTCTGGTTTCATTCATTTAATGCAAAATAAGAGAATAAAGTCATTTGACATGATCGTCTCGATTCAGATTTCACTCAAATTATAACAGACTGTAAAAAATTTACTTCAGTAGTAAACGAAAGGGGAGCAAAAATAATAATATACATATACAGATAAGCTAGGAAAATTTATCATTTAGAAAAAAAGAGGGTAAATGGCACCAGAAGAAAATAGTCAAGTATTATTGCAAGTTTCAAAAAAAAGAAGAAAAAAAATCATTAACTGAGCATCACATTCAACTTACAAAAAATTTTACAATTAACACTAAAAATATATCAAAGGCAACTAAATTTTCAATTTTTTAAGGATTCAATGTGCCGTGGTGGGCACATAATCATGGAATCCAAAATATCCGCACAATGATTACTTTACGTCATTAGCATCTTTGATTTATTGCACTTGAATACCTTAATTGGTAGAAGTCAAGGAAAAACAATCCTATTCTGTTCTCTACTTTTGTTTGAGCTATTCATCTTTGAAATTCCACCTTTCACTCTGATCTTCACAGGACCACGTTGTCAGACAAGGAGGTACATACCCAAATTTTGAAACAAATATTTAACTTGGAAAAAGGAAAAAAAATCAATCTTGCTTCGAGTCCTGCTTTTAAAAAATGATCAGAAGGTACTTAACAGAAAATCAAAGGCACTGATGCAAATTAACACGAAGAAGATTTTTAAACATTACAATCTTTGTATGCCTTTTCTTGGCTCTTGGCAGAGTTTACACAACAAGACATTATAACTTACTCTTTACAAATACAAGGCTAGACAAAAATTAAAGTTTTATACACATAATATCAGTCTGTTGAATAGTATAATACTTTATCGACAAAATTTGACATTAGAAGCTCTTTTTAGCTAGAATCAATTTCCCATTTCTGGTTTTTGCCAAAAAGAACTGCTATTGCTCCTAAAAGGAAAATTCATCTAAAAACAATGACTAAAAGTAATAACAATTTAACTGAGCATTTAATCATTTTATCATTTTCTGGGCTGGTTATAATCGACGTACACTCGGACTACTTCCCCAGAGTACTTACGCTGAGATGGCATGAAGTAGAAGTCTGGCTGGAGATCGTTATTGGGTCGCGTCGAGGGACGATGAGTGTAGTAGCCATTATTGCCATTATGCTGGTTATGTTGGGCTGAGCCTCGTGGCAGAGAATATGTGCTGCGTGGTTCAGGTTGAGCATAGCCGCTGCCTGTGCCCCCATTGGGCTCTGCCCTTGGTCGCTGGAGAGAACGGGTGTCAGCATAATGGTTGTAGCCGCTATTCACATGGTAACTTGCTCCCATGACTGGTTTGCCACCGACAGGCATTGTTGAGCGAGAGGAGCCATTAGTATGACCACCCATAGAGCTCGGTTGTTTCTCTTCCAGTGGCTCAACATTTTCAAAGGCGTAATTTGTATTTGCCGATGAGTAGTCTTTCCAGGCAGAGTTAGGAACCAGATGATCCTGCAAAGAAAATTAAGCAATTTATTAATAAAAAGTCATCAAAATCCTACCTTGACCAGATTTCAGAATTAAGTAGGCTACAACTGTTGGGAAAGATCAGGCGATTTCAAATAAAGATTACATTCCAAGTTGTGGGGAATTTCAAACGTATTTAGGGACATATTCATTTGGTATCATATAAAACTTCAGCATTAAAGCAGAAGAGGTCCTCATAAATTATGTAAATTCTCAGCGAATAAACAATGAGAGCTTGTTTATGAATTAAAGGATTTGGTAAAAGCTGGGAGGAGTGTATCAGGTTTGACATCATGAACTGATTGACATACCAGGTTTCAAAGACATGTTCCTCTTTATAGTGATTTTTATGGTCTGCCATGCATTTTTATCTCTATTATTTTTTTTCAGCACTGCCAATTTTTAGAGGCGTGCCTACTTTGACTATCTGGAGTTCATTCTGTGAAACTTAGAGGAAGATGGCCAAGGTTAAGATAATGAAAGAGAGATAATGATGAGGGATGGCAGGTTAAAAGGTTTGAAAGTCAGTGTAACAGAATTTGTGGTCAAACTTTGTTTACTTTCTGTTTCACTTCCGAACAGACACTTGTTTGAGAAAGAAGAAGATAGAGGTATGATCTTATTTAAATTTATTTGCAGCTCTATCGGGAATAAATGCACTTTTTTTTCTGGTCTTGATAGAAAATAAATGAGAATTTTTTCAGCTTTTAACCAGCAAGTTTGAATGATATTTTTCAATATATAATACTCAAGAAATTAAAAAACAAAAGTAATTTTTTCAATGAAAATTTTCTTTCACAGTTTTTATATTTAATTATTAATTTACTATCAACTGTTTTATTTTTTGGACAAAACAGCTGGGACATTATTACATATATTGTCATAACGTAATGATTAAGGAAGCAATAGAGCTTAATATATCTTCTGATGAAAATGTCAAATGAGAGAGACAATGTAACTCCGAAAACATTACACAAACTAAGACTACAGTTTTGCTTTAAGGGTTTACTCAAGTCTTGATTTCCCAACACATCGATAACAAGCAAAAAGAATTGAGATATAACAAGATCAACTACTATAATAATTACAGCATTGATAGGTGTGTATAATATTTATGAAAATGAGCTGACTTTTTTGATGAAACTTATCTCAAACGATTGCAAGCACCAAAGCAGAGAGGAAAAGTGAGTTGAAGTTAAGACATTATTGATAAAATAGAGGAGGAAATCATGAACATGTGTACTCAAGGAGACATCAAGACATATTCTGTTATGTCATGACTAGTTGCGAAACAATTCTAGGAAAGACAGTCACAACATTTTTGTATAATGCGGACTAGAAAATGAAGATATGGAGAGTGACGGAATAAGAAAACTTTGTGGTTTGTCTTGAACTGGTAGAAATGACACAGGACCAAAATAGTGCTTAAACCTGTACTCGCTCATCACAGCTGGTTGTATTCTAAAACGTCATTTCCCAATCCTATCTTTACTCATTCATATTAGTTCCCAAAATCTGAGCCAACATTTTCTGTTTCATATTTTGGTCCGTAAATTTTGTCTCTCTTCCTTGTTTTTGGCCATATCTTTTGCACGACATCCATACCATTTTTTTCTCAAGCTAGTCATAGGTGTCAGCATCAAGATACGAGTATTTTTGGTCCCACTACCAGACATGTTCTTCCTGGTGGGTACAAAGATTTGAGACAAATGGAGAGACAAAATATTGATGGCTAAATAGAATGCAAACGAAGTTTTCATTGGTTTTGTTTTCGATTGCAATGGATATATTTTTATCTAATACAGTGATTAACGAGGTCTTTTGGCAATCCTAAATTACTGAGAGAATATTTGGACTGAGGTAAACAGAGAGAGCAAAAAACTTGAAGGAATTATTTCCATCGAGTTCAAAATAATGTACTTATAAGAAATTGGAGAATGAGTGACCCAGGGAATTACAAACAAGAAAGCTCGATACAAGGAGGAAGAAAAATTGGGAGAGAAAGTCAATGATCCAAGAAATAAGAATAACTGCCTCACTAAGCAATGAAAGAAATTTGATGCTATAAAGGAATTTTACATTAGAAAAAAGCCCAGTTGTGAGAAGGAGAAAGGGGAAGTTTGCTCAAAGTATTGTTAGACACAATTGAGTGCATAGTTAGACACTGTAAAGTGCATAGTTAGACAAGTGTTTCATGACCAAGCTACTCACCGCATGTGGATTAGTAAGGTTCTCTAATATCTACGAGAAGGAGGGGTTGAAGAGGCTTGCTCTGTGCCCATCATGGGAGCCCAGTGACCTTGAGTGTAGTAGTACATTGGGGCGTCCCCTGACCCATAACGGTACTGAGCCCCCAACGGAATTGAGTACACCCGCTAACCAAAATAAAGCTACCAGTTAGTTTCAACTACTTAAGAGATGCGATCAGAAAAGTTTACGCAGTCCGCACACCCCAGACTTATTCTCAGCAATTTTCATCAACTGTTGATGGACCATAGTTCAAATTGGCGTTTGAAAAGATAGTCAGATGTAACGTCAGGAGTGACGTGCCATGACAAAGAAAAAGAATTGGTCTTCGTAATGCAAAGTAAGCAATTGCCACTCCAAGACTAGATAGTATATGTATATCCATCGCCATTAAATTTAATTTCTCCAGCCTTTTTTTTAAAGGCCAACTAAGAGCATGCTGACTACGCTCATGGAACAAATGGTGTTGAGTGAAAGATATCTTGCTGACTGAGCAGGATTCGAAACTTGGGGGTGACTGGAAACGCAAAAATTTCAGCGATCTATTGTGAAGGGTAAACTATTTTAATGAATACTTTAATTGCAACATAAACTTGTCGCATACAATTGCCAACAAACTTTCTATATCAAGAGAGATAGACAAAAGGGTTTAGCTGCTGGATGAAGTTTTCTATCCAAATATTATTGCGACTCTGTTTTTTAAAAAGAATGAGAAATGTGAGCAGATCACTAAGCAACTTTCCTCTTGAATTTATTGTTCCTAGTACCATTAAAGGACCTTTATCACAAGGAAGAGAAATTACAAGATGACCCTACATAAGTTAAAGCTATCACTTGACTACCATTTCATTGATCAATACAGTGGAATATTCCTCAAATAGATAGTTTTTTTATTCTCTTTTTAATCTTTCTCTTACTCCTAACTAGCATCTTGATCAGACGATAGGTAATAAAAAAGAATCAGTAGGAGAGCTCAAAACAGAGGAGATTATTACTCTACTGGGCTAGAAATACTTCATCAGCAGATGAAAAAAATGATTAAAACAAAACAGGAAAGTATTCAATAAAATATTGGAATCTTTTCGACACACAAAAAGAAAAATATTAAGTCTATTCAAGAAAAAAAAACGAACAAATATCAGGCATTCAAATGGCTGAAACCAGGAAGGCAATAAATGATTGCTGAGTAAGGATATTTGAAAGATGTTACGAAGCTTGTAAGCATCAACACAATAATCTACATAGATGTAATGGAAAGTAGATCTACGAAGTTTATTTTTTCTCAGGGGACCCAAATAAATACTTAAAGCATTTAATTTAGACGGACTGATATTTTACAAATTGCAATGAGGAAATTTTACAATGAAGAAGGAAATAAGTGCTTAAATGACTCAGAATTAAACTAGACTTTTTGATTTCACTTTGGACAAACAGACTTTTTCTTGATTTGCATGGTCCGGTTAAGGTGCTCAAGTGAAGAAAAAAAATAATTTTGTAAGTGAGACCAATTGCAAAATCATTTTGAACTATGCAAAATTTCTTAGATTAATAGAGGACCTCCCTAACAAATGATAAAAGTAGGAAGGCGAAAATGAGAATTTAAAACAAAAATCGTGTTACTTCTCAAATTCTCATGCCAAATATTAGATAGCTCTGCAAAGATTTTCAAGTTTAACTGGGTATGTTTTCTTTAAACAGCAACTTTTTTTATTAACAGGGTTGTCCATAAATGGCGTCAGGGTCTGGGGAGAGGAGGAAGGAAGTTCAAGGGGTGCCTGACATGTACCTAACAGTGGGATGAGGGGAAGTTAAATGGAACCTGATGTCAGGCTAAAATTGATGCGAAGCCCCCATTTAAAAAAAAAAACTTTCGAAATCCAAAAAAGCGCCGATTTTTTTGTGAGTAATATGGGGGTGGGGGATTGAACTAAACATGACACAATTCTTAGAGGAAGTATTCGATTTTTGCATATTATTGATATTACACTTAGTTATAAAATGCAAGTTTATTATGGTGCTGTATTATTTTAAAGTGCATAATTTGTAATGGTCATTATTACTATTCACAAGAGGCAAGTTTATTAAGATGCTGAATTATTTTAAGGTGTATCATTTTTATTAGTCAATATTAATCATCTATTATGAATTATGATTTAAGAGAAAGAAAATTTGCAGAGAAGAAAACACAATTGAAAATAAACCATTTCATACAACACTGAAAGCAAGAGTTTTAAAGCTAATACTTGACAAGAAGCAAAGGCTTAAAGTATTTCAACCAACACCATCTAAAAAAGTCAGCTCTAACTACGTAGCTACCGAGTGCCTTCGAATTATTATGTGGATTGCTTTCAGGAAAAAGCTGATGAAATTTTAAGTTTTTAAAATTTTCAAATGCATTTCATCTCTCCTTGACTTAAATCATGATGAGAGATTTCGCAAAAGGTAATGAAGGAGGTGAAGATAATCACGGCAAGATTAGAGGAGTAAATGGTTATTCTTCAAAAATATGTAATCAGAGCGGATTCAATAGATGCAAAAAAAGCAAGCTACCTAATTTTTTCAATTCCATTTAGTCTGATTAGAAACTTCTCTCATGAATTATTAAAATTGAGACTCATAATATGAAGGAGTCTTATATTTTTACATCACGTTTTAGAGTGATAAAATTCTATCATAAATTTGAAATTAAATTTTTCCCTTTGAGATAAATAAAGATGTGAATAGAAAAGAATAAAAATAATTAAAAGGGCATTAAACTGCAAAAAAGATAAGGCTTCAAGGACTAGCTTTATACCTACTAAAATTGACTTGAACAATATTGTGCAAATTATTTGAAACAATTCACATTTTCTGGAGACATAGTATTTTGTTCAAAATTGATTTCCCAGAATTAGTGTCGGACAAAAAATAAAAAGAAAATACAGAGTAACAATAATAGGCTACATGATATGCAGGAATAATAATCGAGTTATTTTTTTTATTTTATTCACTGGAAAAATGCCACAACGGATAACTCAGAGCTTTTTTAAAACAGATTATAAGAGGGAAGTTTCTAACCTCATAAAAAATCACAGTTCGTAATTTTAGGTATAGTAATTCCTTAAAGTCTTTAATTCATTCAACAGCTCTAACAATTTATTTCTATACGGTAAGTTAGATCCATTAATAATTTCCATTCCACTTCCTGGCTTCAATGAATGCTTCGGAACTCTAAGTCAACATTATATTTATTATTTAATGGCTTTGTTCGCACTTGAGACTACTTCAGATATTTTTCAGATTTTACTAAATTTTTTCAAAAAAGTGAACGCTGTTATAAGTGTCCTGATTGTACACGGAAAAAATACTGGTAGCCTTCATTTGCAGACAAATTAAAACTAAATGTAAGTTCAGATAAATTGCTATGTATCTAATCGCATTGTTGTAAGCAAGCAAGTGCCCAAAATTTGAATCACTACACGACTTGCCAAGACAAACCTGGATAACTTGGAATTCATCAAGATAATTTGGATTTTACTCTGCAATAAGAAACTACCATTTCTGAATCATTTTAAATACAACGTATGTGCCATCAGCTTCTAAATACAGATGGGTGCTTTGGCGTATGAGCTAGAAATATCAGTTTCTTATTGAAAAATGTAGTCCACTTGCATATAGTCCAAATTTTTAACCTCTTCTCCAGCATACATAGTGTCAGTTAGCTTGGAGACTAACAAGGCACATCATCCTACTCCAAAGTTTGAAAAATTAATCTAGGGTCTAATTTTTTTGTGGCTGCATCAAAGGCGGACGGTCAAGAGTGTACACCACTTCTAAGCATTAAATAAATTGTAATTCTAGGCAACAGGTTTCAGCAAAAAAGAGTAAAAAGAGTTTGAAAATGGAAGCATATTTACCTTATGGTTAGGTGTGCTATGACTCATTGTGCGGTAGATGGTACAAGAGGCTTGAATGACAGCAATGAAAACAAGAGCTGCGATCACTCCGATTACTACCCATAATTTTGCCTCAGACAGTCGCATGCCTTCACGAGTTTCATCAACATCAATAGTGTTGGTGACTGTGAAGAAAAAAGAAAAAATTGCATTAATTTACCTTACAAAGAAGTAACATTTAATAATGTAAAAAAAAGAGTAATTCCTTTGAAAAAATAATTGTTACAGAATCTACAGGATCACTCCTTCACAAAAATTACAATATTAATGAAAAACTCTTTGTTTTGTACTGACAATGCCAGAAAAAAAATGAAAATTTTCTTAAACATTTAGGTAAAAAAAAACCCCAAGATTTTCACAACAAACCGAAATTTTGACAGTTCAACGTTTGCAGGTAAAAAAAAAGTCATTTTGAGGAAAAGCCTGTCTAAGGTTTTAATCTCTAATGTTGGAGCTTAAGTTGTCCAATAATAGTACCATTTCACGCCATCTATTGGTAAAAAAATAAACTAAACAACTAAAGACTTATATTTAGGGATACTATAGAGTTTACACATTAAAAACTCCAAAATCCAATCTTTCCACCCAACTTGACAATGATTTCTCCTAAAAAACTTGCAACTACACACTGAGATCTGATCGCCTGTGTAAAGTCTCAAATCAGAATGTCTACCAAAACAGGCTGGCCAAAATTCAGTACTTTTTCAGTACCTCCAATTGACGAAATTCGAAAATTTTCACAAATTTGAATTTCTCGCTCGAATTGCAACAAAAATGACAAAAATTCCGGACCTTCTCGCAAAATTGCGCACTTTTTCAGTACTTCCTGACCGCCCTTAAAGAATCAATACGATATTCGGACTTAAGGACACCCTGCAAATATCTGATAGTTTCAAAATAAAATGGAAATAACTAAAACTTGTAACTGGAAGTATCACTTACGAGAAGCTGGCTCAAAAACGAGATAAGCAGGATCAATTGTCAGAGCACCTACTTTACCACTCTGAACAGTTTCTTGGAGGACTTGTTGGATTTCTTGCGTGTTCTCTGTCTCTAGAGCTCGACCTCTTTCAAACTGCCCTTTGTCAAGCTCCAGGTTTAGTCGTGCAACAACGTTATCTTGTTCTCTGCGGATAGATTTAGAGATTAAAAAAATTAATACCTAGTGAAGTATGCTCTAAGATAAAAATTTTGAGAAAATAAATTAGAGAGGAGGTTGAACTTGTGGAGGGCAGGAAATAAAACAAATTATGGAAAAATTATGGTTTATGGAAAATTATTAAACTTTCTCTCTGCGTTCAACTCTACAATGAACGGTAACAACTTGTTTTAATTTCGCTTTTGGCTCTTGACAAACCTCTGTTGTTCAGACTAGTTTTAGTGCTTTTTTTCAGAGAGAAACCCAAAATAAGAGGAATTTTTAGATGTTAACTGAATCTAAATGTTAAAGCTCATTTTGACTGTTCACCAATTACTTAGTTTTTTATTCCAATAGAGGTACATGGTTTAGCCATTTTTGCTTGGTGACTGATGTGCAAAGGTTTAATTTTTTACAAATTTCCTAGGGGTTTCATCGATAAAACACGAGATCTCAAACTACAAGGAGAAGAGCAATCTACTTACTGCACAAATTCCATGACATCCAATTTATGAAAACCGGGTAACTTCGCCAGAGCTCTGGAGAAACCTGAACTAACAGTATTTGCAAGAAGATCGAAGTCTTGACTACCAGCTTGTGGGGCTTGGAAGTTTTCTCCGAGGTTGACTAGTTTCACTTCAACATTATATGCTAATTTTGGTGGAGGTGGTGGAGTGACTAGTTCCTCACCTGTAGAGAAAGAAAAAATTTGAGACTTTGAAACTAAATTTTGAGGGACACATAAGTTTGATTTGATCTCCTATTTACTGGAACGCAAGTAATTAATTTTAAGCTTCACTGTGACTACGTCACAGTTTTGCTATTTATCTGGATCTGATACTCTTCCAGCTATCCTCCTACAAATCTGCGTATACAACAATTACAGAGGACCATGTAATTAGGTAAAAAGTGTAAGTACTCATAGATGTCGGATAAAGTATTCTCTTCAAATTTTATTTGCATGGTAACCTGATCATTCATTGTTCATAAGCATATTGACAGAATAGTTTCAAAAGAAAGTTTGATTTTTTAAAATATTGTGTGGATCTTTTCGTAAAATAAAAATAAGGCAGAGAGAACGTTCAAAGGCAACTAAACTATGTGGATAAAATGATACGTACCAGGGCCACATGGCATGATGCAGACTCTTTCAGAAGAGAAACTGGGCACAAGCTCATGTTTACGGATTTTTTTGTTAACAGGATTGAAACCACCACCCCTTACAGGGAACATGAGATAAAGACACTTATCGTCTGTGAAAGCTAGATCCTAGATTTGAATAAAGAAAATGAAGATTATGAATAATGAAGACAATAATAAGTAAGTAACACAGTAATGAAGAAAACACAGTAATCAAGATAATTTTATGGGATACTGGCAAATTATACAATTTTTCCAAAAAGCAAACATAAATGTTTACATTTTTAATTGTTTCAATTTTCTAGTTCGAAGCTTGTATAAAAGTTACTTATTTTCAACAGTAGCTATAATACTTTCACCAAAAAAAGAAAAGGAAAGGAAAAAAGAGAATATCCTTGGAAGAGGTAATGATTAGCAATAGATTTTAAAATTGTGTCAAAATGGGAAAATTAAACTTCAGAATCTGTAAAATTCTATTGAATAAGAAAAGAGAAGAGTCTAAAACAATTTCAAGATGACCTGTGATAGCAGCCTGAACTAGGAAATTCTAATCATTATAATAATGCAAATACTTTATGGTAATTCTTATCCAGATTAAATTCATAACTTAAAAACACGAAAACTAGCCGCTGTTATGGACAAGCAACATTTACGCTGAACTACATTCGTTGTATACTTTCTGGATTTAAGTATTTTCATTCAAACTAAATATCCTTGCATAACGTCTACACTTGGAGAATAATAAACAAAAGTTATATTCCAATCAATTGCGGTGAACGCACTTCGTAAAAGTTATATTCTGTTGAGGAAAAAATTATTTTCTCTAAATAATTGAGGTACATTGTAATTTTACTGTGCTTCTGCTAGAATGCCAACACCTGATTGGTAAGTGAAGAAACTGAAACTGGTGGCAGGTAAAAAAAGAAAAAAAAAATTGACACATCAATTAACTTAAAAAATGTGTCGCAAACTTCTGACGCCACAATTTTTCTTCCCTCTCTCACGTTTGTTCACTTATATAATGATAGGAAGGACTTTAATTTTTTACATACTGTTGCTAGAACTAACCTTAGAATCTCCAGTTGTTCTTTTCCTTGTAAATGATAACCAGGTTAGGCCATCAATTGATTTACCATTCAAATCGGTGATGTCTTGTGAGTTGTCTAAGAGTGGAGAGGTGTATCCGCCGATCCAAGTATCCATCAAGAAGAATCTACCACTTTTGTCAACCCAACCCAGGACTGCATCAGTACTGGCCTATTAAATAGAGAAGAAGAGGTATGAAATAATTAAAAAGGCTATTGTTTCTCATTGTAAATGATAAACGTAAAATGGATGCGTCTTTAAATTCTGGTTTCAGAGTTCTTGTTTTAATAGTTTCCAATAGTTTTAAAATTTTGAGGAATTATTTCAACATATTTGCAGATTTCATCAAAGTGAAAAAAGAGATTGACGATGATAAAATTAATACTAATGTTAGAAAAGAAGAAAAAGAAATTTTCTTTCAACTTTCACATTAGCAGAAAGACGCGATTATCTGATAAGCGGTGACCTCACTTAGTTCATCAATGGTGTGACGCATACAACATTTGGCTAAATTGATGATTTCCTACTGACCAGCTAACATCTGTCCCCTATATTGCCAAGAAGGTGAGCGCTAATTTTTTGTTCTGCCCTAGAATGTGTGGAGATCCTACTTCCAATCTTGGGCCAGCCAAACTTCTAGGTAATCGTACACTTCAAACCCTCAGATATTAAAACATCATATAATCTGCATCCTTTCGGCCCTGCCCTACAGCCACCTAGTCATCAGACTAGCATGAAGTATGAAAGAGGCTATTATCTTCTGGCTCATGTGCCTATCTCTTCTTCTATTCCTTCGATGCATGTCCAAGATAGACCTTAAATGAGGTTGGCAACAAGTAAAACTCTTGCTTCAGTCTCTTCGTAACTAAAAATTCTACAGATGTTGAATGATTGCTTTGAACGCTTCGTTTTTTAATGAAAAAATATGTTTGGTACAGAGGATGGAGAGTGGATAAAAAGATAAAGAAGACTTACCATACGGTGATCGTCAGAGAAGCCAATGCCTGTCCATGTATCAACGTGTTTGGTGGTGATATTGAACCTAATTTTATCCATTCTAGATAAGTATTCCCATGTGACATGATATTCACATTCGCCTTTTTCCACGCTACAGCCAGCTGGAGAGCCCCATTCACCTCTGCATTTATTTATGACAGGCTTCTTTTCTACTGATTCACCAGACGTCCCAGCAACAGGGGAAGTCTGACGAGCTTCTTCTAAACATTTTTGAGATAAAAAATGAAATATTATGAATGGAATAAGTATAAAGTCAATATCAGCAATCTTTATTACCAAGATCAAAAGAGTCAAAAGTGCTCATGAATCACATTTAAGCTAAGCAGATAAACCTAGATATCTAAAATGAAAAACGATAAGATGGTAAGTGGTTTTTTTTTTCAAGTTCTATCAAAGCAAATAAAATAGTGAAATAGAGCAATCATATTAATAGATTAGATAATAAGATTTTAGTTTTAAGGATTAATTAAAAAGTCGAGGATTGCGATCAAAAACTCATTAGAAAATTTTCTAAAGAAGAGGAAGTTGAGTTTTATTGAAATATGACTGAAATATGCTTGGTTAATGTAGGTAATCATTGGCTGTTCATGACACCGAACCAAGTAGGTCTTTAAAATGACATAAACAGGAATTCTTGAGAAGTAATTTTGAGGTAAAATATAAAGAAAAACAAGCTGGCACTGGCAAGGGATTGGAATAACAGAGCGAAGAGACCTTCTCTCGTGGACGGGAGGACAATTATGAGATGTAAAATTTTCAAAGGAGCTAATTTTGTTGAAAGCGGTAAAAAAATCGGATTTTGAAATTTTGGTTTATAATTTTTTCTGATGCTCGAAAGAATAAGTTCATTTCTGTTCAGATACAGGGCCTGAAAATGCATCGTAATCTGAAAATTTTGTTGGATTCTTAGATTTTTTCTTAAATTTGAAGTAGATTTTGTGTCTTGACTAATTTTAAAGGGTCTTGCACTCCTGAAAAAGTACTTCGGGATAATGATATTCTTAAATGATGATCAAAAATTATTTTTGAGTGTAGAAACTGAGTTTTTGAGTAATGGAGAGAAAAATGGTCACTTACCGTAGAAGTTGATGGCTGTGACTCCTCTTTGAGATTGATGACCATGGTATTTCAGTTCATCTGGCTTGTAAAAGTCCGGAACTGAAGAGTGTTCCCTCTCCAAACCAGACTTGGGAGAGTGAACAAACTTACCCGGTTCTTGACCTTGTGCCCAAATGACATGCATCAGATCTTTTTCTATGCTGTGATCAGTAGGCTCCGTTGCTGCAAGAAACAAGTTTGAATTAGAAATGAAATTTTTAATAAAAGCACTCAAACAATAACAGTTGATTACAGAAAACGATAGAAACTATTTCATTGACATTTCATGAAGCGGGGAGGCGGCATAGAAATAAAATGTATTTCTTAATTAAGTGCTTGATTTACTGGAAGAAAAGAAAATCGGTAGCCATACTACGAAAAAGGGACCGAATGGAATTTCAGTTGAAATTGAAATATTCATGCTACTAAAGAGAGACTCAAAGTATGTGCAACTTATATCCAAATATGTCGGTGCTACTTGTGAAGTACGCACCCCCCAAAAAAATTACTCAAAGCTTCCCTTAACTCCCATTCCCCCATATATTAGCAGTATAAGATGAATTTTAGATGAAACATTTCCAAGTCAAATCAATTTTCCATCTCCGATTCTTGGAAATCGGCGCTGCTCATTTACTCTCGCATTACATAACGCAGTTCTGAACAGTGCCTTTCTGTGCTGAGAAGCACCTGTATCGCAGGTTGCAGGCTCAGACCCCTCCCCCTTCTTGACTTCGAGCATTACGTATGATATGAACGGTCCCTTTCTTCTTCCAATAATTACCGAGAGTTGCTTTAAAAAAAAAGAAGTACTGGATTTTCCACCAAGATTGAAAGATATTGGTGCTTCGAAATATTTTTATCTGAAATTTCAGGTCATTTTCTCAAGGGCTTCTTTTTTGCAGTGAACAAAATGAAAGAAACTTCATTGAATGCTTACCAGTCAACTTTTTACGGAAGAGTATAGTAGTGACGCCATCTTTTTCAAAACCAAGAGCAGCTGTAAGATCATTCTTGCCACCCCAGAAAGTATCCAAGCGGGGAGTAGATCTTTAAAATAAAAAAGAAGGATTATCATCACATTGACAAACAAAAGAAGATAAAACAATGTTAAGATGATGTGTAATTATATAATTCAGAAAGTAAATTCCTACGGAATGAAGTAGACTTTATCAAGTGGGCATCGGAGTCAGCTTTTAGAAGGTGGTAAGTAACAAAAATACTTGATCCAATTTAATAAGCTGAAGAAATAGTGACTGGCCCATCTGTCAGTAAGTTTATAGAGTCCATTTGTTCGAAGTTGATAAATATTCCTACACTACATTGGTGAAACTTGTTTCATGCTTCATAGATGACCTGTAAAAAGTCTAGATTTTCAGTAATTTTCAAGCATAATTAATACCTGTCTCGTATCAGCCAAAAATGACATTCCTGCAACGTTATTTTTGGCCATTACGCTGTGACAACATTTCCATGACTACTTTGGGTAACCACTTGCCGTGCACGTAGTATTTGATTAGTTGTTGATCTGACAGCCTATTCCATTTATTCGGCAGAGGTAACTAAATAATTAAAAAATAGATTTTTAAGCAAAATTTCGGTGAGCAAAAAATCTTACCTATCTCGAGTGTAATAATCCCAAATTCTACTGGCAGTTCCTCTGGCCATACCGATAACCATGTCAGTGCAATCCATTGGGTTAAAGTCGTGCCTTGGCGTGTATGGGCCTAAAGCTGCATCTGTAAAAGAGAAAATAAAAAATAATAAAGAAAGTCTAAGTCTTAAGTCCCAGTTTGATTGAAAATGAGAAACATTCCTTGATACTAAGAGAAGCTGAAACTGAAAAGTACGATCAGGAATATTCGTACATACCTTATGATGAGAACTAACTACAATGAGAAAAAAAGCCACAAGATTGGATGATCAACGGTTACGAGAGGACTAAAAGTGAAAGCTGATTTTACAGTTGTAAACATATTTCTTATTTGGCTAAAGAACAACTTAAAGAAACGTTTTGGAGAAACAGGTTGTAGGTACCTGGTCTGTCCCTTTATCTGTAATATTTGAATTGAATTTTCTTTCTTGTATTCTTACCATCAATACACAGATTAATATTGCAAAGTTTGCTATGCTAAGACAGTTTCACAAGCATTTTACCAACTAAGTGCTGAAAAAAAGATCACAAGTTGAGGAAGATGCCAAAAAATTTAAGGTAATGCTAAACGCATACGATGAAAGCTTGAGGCATTTCAATCAGATGCTGTTTGTAATCTTGCGATATCTTGTAATCCCACACTCAAAAGGTCTGACTATGAATGAGCCTCTAATTGAATTCCTTTTGGTAAAAAATCGGAATTTGAGACTAGAGAAGGAATAAAAGAAGACACATTTTTCAAATTGGTGCTACCGACAAAACTAAATGCCAGAGACTGAAGCAAAGATGTGCAAAAGAGAGTGCAATGAAGTACCTTTGACCGCAGCGTGATGAGCATGTGCATGTTTCGCACTAGATTTTGATTTAGATGTGGGCTCTGGCTCAGATTTAGGTTCAGACTCTGAATTAGGTTCAGGTTCTGATTTAGGTTCGGGCTCAGATTTGGGCTCGGGTTCCGATTTAGGTTCAGGTTCAGATTTGGGCTCAGGCTCAGATTTAGGTTCGGGTTCAGATTTAGGCTCAGGCTCTGATTTGGGTTCAGGTTCAGACTTGGGCTCAGGTTCAGATTTAGGCTCAGGCTCAGATTTTGGCTCAGGTTCAGATTTAGGCTCAGGCTCTGATTTTGGTTCAGGTTCAGTTTTAGGCTCTGGTTCAGCTTTGGGCTCTGACTCAACAGGCTTCTTACGACCTAAAACAGATTTCCATTCACATGCATAGGTAAAGGAGTAATTTAAAACCACACCAAGCAAATATTGCAGTGGTGAAAAAGCATAAACATAGGTGTATTTAAGGAACAGGTGCTATACAAAGTATAAAACTGACAGGCATTAATGCTCCTTTTTTTTGGGTACGGGTATTCTTTAAGAAAACATAAGCAGGGGAAATGTTTTAATCAAATCAGCTGCACTGCAAACCCTACATTTTAAAATGTAGCACTGAATAATTAATGAATATGCCCAAAACTATAAATACTCGCTGTAATTTTCCTCCATCCATTTCCCTCTGAACAAGACGAATTTTAATTTCTGGATGTAAAATTGATTTGTGAATTTCTTGGGAGGGTCTAGTGAATATCACAATTTGAGCTCTCAATCTCTTCTTCCGCTAATTAAGGCTAATCTCAAGTACTTCCAAGGTGAAAAAATATGGATTTTCCTATAAATGACATAATATAATGCAAGGCAAGTATTTGAAAAAAGGGCAATCAATTAAGTTGTTTGGATGGCTGCAGTTGAAATTCTTTCCCTCTAACAACTGAAATGGATTTTAAAAGATCACTGTCTGTCTTTAGATTACAGGAGTCCTCAAAATTAAACTTAATACTGAAGATTCAAGAAAACAAGAAATTGTATTTTGAAGTATTGATATGGTCGAAACAAATTCCATTCAGTGCTGAAAGGAAGGGCATGCTGTAAGACAGAAATCTCGTACTTCAACAAAAAAGTGACTAGCAAGTAAATTAAGCAGTGATAGAACATCGTAGTTGCAAGAATGTAAACTAAAAATCAACTTACCAGGTAACAGTTTTGGTCTAACAGGTTCTGCAGCCCTCTTTCCTCTCCCAGCATTGACAGCAGCTTTAAGAAATAAAAAACAGAAGGATCATTTATTGGAAATTTAGATGCTTCAGTAAAATATTGAAAAAAGGAAAGGGAACATTCTTCAAGATTTGAAATAAACTGAACACAGCCAAAAATGTTTAACTTTTAATTGATATTGGGTACTAAAATGGAACTGCTATCACACATTTTTTTTCATACTCTATTCTTTTCTTGCAAATAAAATGGATATTATTTATTATTTTTAGATTTTTTGGGGGGCTCAGTTATTGCTGTGTAAGGACCATATACTTACAAAATCCTTCAAATGACTATGACTCACCTTGCTTGGAGCTGACACGGTAAGAGACGCTTGTTTCGACAGCATCAGATTTTTCAGAAGTGGCAGGTGTTTCTTCATTTGTTCTTGTGACGCGGATAGGACTTTTAGATGGTCTGAATGGAGTATGAATATTAACATTAGGTCTGGTTCCTCTGAATCTTTGGAATTTAGGTTTGGGAGCATAGGTTGTGGGAGCAATATTGAATTTAGGATCAATTTTTGGCTCTGCTGGTTTGACAGTGCTTGTTGTTGTTGTAGTTGTTGAGCTGGGCTCTGGTTCGGCCTTGGGCTCCGGTTCTGACTTTGGCTCAGGTTCAGATTTTGGCTCTGGTTCAGACTTGGGCTCAGGTTCTGATTTTGGTTCTGGTTCAGATTTGGGTTCTGGTTCTGATTTTGGTTCAGGCTCTGATTTAGGCTCTGGCTCAGACTTGGGTTCTGGTTCAGATTTTGGTTCTGGCTCTGATTTAGGTTCTGGTTCGGATTTGGGTTCTGGCTCAGACTTGGGCTCAGGTTCTGACTTAGGCTCTGGCTCGGATTTCGGTTCCGGCTCTGATTTCGGTTCTGGCTCGGATTTTGGTTCAGGTTCGGATTTGGGCTCGGGATGTGATTTAGGCTCATGGTTGGGTTCAGGTTCTGTTGCAGGTTCAGGATGGGCTTCGTGTCCATGATGGGCATGATCAGCGTGATCAGCATGGTCTTTGAGGACAGGGAAATTCTTACAGGTGGGTCCTAAACCTCTTGGTCGCCAACCAACTCCCACATAACTAGTTCCATTGACTTTTACAATCATTTCTATTTCGCCTTCCTCACGCAGAAGCCTCCAGTAAAGTTTGAAATTCGGGCTTAGTTCTCGGTAAGAATGTCCGCTCAAATCTATGTCAGTTGACTTAACAGTAGATCCTGTAAATTATAAACACATAATTAGAATGTTTTAAGGAGAAAATATATGAATACATTGTGAAACATTGAGGAAAGAAAATTTCTTTATCTTATTCATGACACATAATTGCGTGGATAAGCATGATTCTAACTCTGAACAATAGCGGAACTTAGGTACAAAACTGCTACAAAGCAAAATTTCTGTCACATTTTAGATTTCTTGAGGTGCACTAGATCATTGTTATTGCATAAAATTGTGTGTAATTTTTCTTCGGCTTTTCAAGCACATTCCCTGAATAGTCGGTGCAAAATAGTCAATATTCTTCCACACACACACACAAAAAAAAAAAAAAAAAAAAAAAAAAAAAAAAAAAAAAAAAGACGGTGTTGGATGCTGCGTAACCTACAGCCTTTTACTTATACGAACATGACATTGAGAATCGATGATAAGAGGCTGATTTAGAAAATATTATTTCTGGGCAGAAAAGACTATGCACTGTTCAGGAGACTTGAACGCATGGGCGCGAAATTAGAGATCACTACTTTCGTGTCCATGCGTTCAAGTCTCCTAAACAATGTAGAGTCAAGTTTGCCCGGACGCAATGTACCATTCAAATAAAGCGTAAAATAATTAATTCCACTTTAGATACGTTGAATTTTGAGTCTTAATTCTTCAGGCGATCTTATTAGAACCCTTTTTTTCGTCTCATTACTATACAGATTTTGTTAATGACCGATAAAAATAAGGAGAATTCTTCCTAAGAGGGCGAATTTCTTTCAACTGATAATCTAAGAATAGATTATGAAATATTGACTCACTTTTGGTACAAGCTGGACCGAACCATCCAAGCTCACAGTAACATTGTTTCCTTGGAGCAGTAGTGGCATGAACATCGACACATCGACCTTGGTCGCCACAGTCAGAATTTTCGATACATTCGTCGCGGTACTGGCATCTGGAGCCGTAGTACAATCTGTCACAGCGGCATTTCGAGAGAAGGTACCTTCCATGTCCATTGCAATCTTCGCGGTACTCTTTACCTGAAATCAAAATGGATTTGTGGTTATTTTCAGTAGTATTTTCAAAAGGGACCGTCCCTTAAGTACGTACTCTAGC